CCCTGCCTTCTCAAAGTTCAGCAGACAAAGTGTCGAAACGACAACGACAAGAAGCAATCGGGCCAGTCTCATGTCCACCAAAACGAACCGTACCAAGCTGTCGGAGGCCTTCACTCACACCAGCACGGCCATCACTACCCCCGACACCTCGCCAAGCCAGAGCCAGAGCCAAAGCGAAGACGGTGCTTCCATCCACAGCTTGCCTGCACTGAAGGAGCCCGAGGAGATTGATTACACCAAGATTGATTTCACACCCTTGCGGCAGATGAGCGGTAGCCACTCGATCGAGGGCAACATCATGACGGACAGCGACGACCACTTGCGTACCGACGTGAGCACCATGGATGATGCGGCGACCAAGGCATCTAGTGTATACACCAAGGACGACGCCAGCATCATCACCAAGCATGATGATGAGATCGAGGAGGAGGCGCAAGACGAGAACGAGGATGATGACGCCGACGACGAGGACGATGAGGACGACGAGGAGGAGGCGGTCATCTTCGAAGTGGCCGAGGTCCAGCCGGCACGCATGGCTGCCCCGATTCACGCCAAGGGCTCCCTGGTCACGATTCCTAAGAGGATTCCGCCCCCCTTGCCTGCGAGAAGCCCTGCGAGAGGCTCCCGCGCGAGCAAGAGCGAGATGGGAGATGTGAGCCATCTTCACAGCCCACTTCAGTCTTCCTTCACCGCCTCTCCTCGCCAGTCCATTGATTCCAGCTCTATCAGAAGCGAGTCGTCGAGCAAGATCCCGTCCATCAAGGAGGTGCCTGCTGAGGATGGGTCGGATGCGGAGAAGGCGAGCAAGACCGATTCCATCATGACGGAGAAGCTGCAAATGGATGAGTCGGCACTCCAGACCCCCACCGTCCAGGAACTGGACAAGGCCACACCTCTGGCCCCTGGGGCTTTCCCAGATGAGGAAACCGATTTTATGATCCCTTTGGGCAGCCCTTTGAAAGAAGTTTCCAGCATCGAGTCGAGGCATGTTGCCCCGAAGGCGGTTGATGTTGCATGATACCATTCACTTTCTTTTTGCTTTTTGCGTGGGACTAGGTGTGCCACCCAGGAACTTGGACACGCACGCTGTCTCATTTTCCTGCTTGAAATTTTCACTGCCAGGCGTTGGGGGAGATTTACAGCTGCAAATTCTGGGAGCAGAATACTCAGCAGTTACTTGCGATTGACGAACAACTTTACGACGGTTTTAACAGGCGTTTACGGATTCAAGGCTCAAAAAGGCCAGGCACCGGGAGGGTACAACAACACACCAAATGATGATTGGGTACACAGTTTGTACCATGGGGGAAACGGAACGGTTAACTGGATTGGGGGAGGAACTGTATACCTTAGAACCGGACGTCGGCCGAGCAGCCTCAGATGCTGCAGAGGGACATTACTTGGGCCACCGCGGGTCGACTGTGAGGGGCAACCCAACAAGATCACCCGGCAATGGTAGCCTAGCCTTACTACGTATTGCATAAAGATAATGTTCAATCATTCAGAACACTCCGCGTCCCATTTTCAAGCCGCACGATAACATGATAAGCCGCAGCTTGCTTGAGCGGAGCTGCTGCTCGATCTTAGAGCCCCAGATCTTTATGATTTTGTAACCGAAAGAAAACTCTGAGCTACTTCCTTTGAACAATGACAGCCTCGGATTTTGTGAATCACCAAACTGCTATCACCAACATCATGATTGCTACTCTGGTGTCTATGCCTTGCTGTGTGTGCAAGAGCTGCACGGACCGGAAAAACATTGTAGCAAACATGCTGTTTGCACGGACCACCCCAGCACTTTCTGGCTCCAACACCACCAGTGGCTTTACAGCTGGCGCCAGCAGCTGCACCAGCACCAGCATTAGCTCCCAAGAGGACTCTGCCAGATACGCGTTTCGATCGCGGCCCCAGACACTCGCGCAGGTTACGCCCACGAAGCCTCGAACTCGAGCCACCTACGACGACAATCCAGGCTCTGCCACGCCCCACGACACTCCAGCTCAATCCCGTGCCGCGACAACCCCTCGCGCCGGCAAGATGTCGACCCAAACGGGCAAGTTCCGCGAGGACCAGGTCCTCATCATCTGCCCCGGCAGCCAGACGACCATGGCCCAGCTGGGATGCGGCGAGCTGACCCCGCCTGTCCATCGCATGCCCACGCGCATGTTCAAGGACGAGGAGACGGGCGAATGGCGCCCTTTCCACACCTTCAAGCGCAAGAAGGCTGGCGCCAATGGCGCTCTCGCCATCGACGGGCCGCGTACCGATGAGGACGAGTACGAGTGGGTTGAAGACACAGACTCGAGCGAGGGCGCCATCTACCCTCTTCAAGGTACGTCGTGGTGGGCACGATTGCAACGCGACAAGGTTTGCAATGCTAATTGAGTGGTTTCTCAGGCGGTCGCATTGCCAACATGGAGGCCTTCCTGGCCTTCCTCGACCATGTTCACAGCATGCTCACGACCACTTACCACAACACTCCCATCATGCTCATCGCCTCGCCCCAATGGGCCCGCCCCGACAACGAGACGATTGCGCGCTACATATTCGAGAAGACGCGAACCCCGGCCTTGTGCATGATGCACAGCGGCATTGCGTCCCAGTACGGCGTCAAGTGGCCGAACGTGACTGTGGTGGACATTGGCTACGAGAAGGTCGACGTAAGTTGCATACACGACGGTCGCGTGGTCAGCTACGGCGAGCTGGGCGCCCCGAACCCTGAGCGCTTCATCTCCGGCGGTGAGATCTTTACGCGCAAGTTGTTCGAGAAGCTCAAGAGCAAGGACTTCACCTACGACATGGCTGAGCAGCTGAAGAAGAGCCACGTCTGCGAGGTTCTCCCATATGCGCCCAATAAAGCGAAGCTGATGGAGCTGCCAACTACTTCGACGGCAGGGGCTGCTGGGAGCGGGCCGTCTGCCGCGCCGGCTGCCGAGGCACCTCAGACCAGCGAGCCAGCGCGTCCCGTGGCTGCCGGTGACGAAGAGCCCGAGGAACCTAAGGGCGACGAGGGTGTTCTTGACGTAGCCAGCATCGTTACGGCGGGCAACGCGCGCGACTTTTTGGCCAAGAAGGAGAAGGAAAAGCAAGAGAAGGGCAAGGGTGGCAGAAAGGGCAAAGCTGCTCAGGAGGCAGAGGCTGCTAAGCCTGTCCGCTTGCCCAACTCGAAGCGCACGCACAACATGTTCCACTTTGAGGAGGTCATTCAAGAAGAGGTCCAGCCTCCCAAGAAGGAGGAGCCCAAGCCGGAGGCCAAGGAGGAGCCCAAGAAGGAGGAGGCCGGCAACCCCAATGAGTCCAAGGACGTGGAGATGACGGACAGCGCCGCCAAGCCCGCCGACGCGCCGGCTCCTGACGGCGAGTCGAAGCCGGCAGAGGCCACCCCTGCCGACCCTGCTGCGGCCGCCGAGACGAACGGAACGACTGCCCAGCACGCCGCTGTCGTCCATACCGAGACCCCTACCGCCACCAACGGCGTGCCCGGCCCTCCCGAGAGACAGGCCAAGCGCGTGCGCCGCGACATCGAGGTCGGTCTGGAGCGGTTCACCTTTGCAGACCGTGGCGAGATTGACCGGATCGTCACGACCATCTACCGCACCGTCCAGAGCATCGACGACATGTACATCCGTCCCCTGTGCTGGGACAACATCATCTTCGTCGGCAACGGCGCCCGCCTCCGCGGCCTCAAGGACAACATCATGCAGACTCTGACGGCCCGCCACCTCATCTCGCCCAGCACGGCGACCATGTTCACCTCGGAGCTCCCCTCCAACATCGCGACGCCCACCGGCACCGGCGCCCAGACCCCCACCGGCTCCTTCACCGGCGCCCCTCACCAGCTGCCGCCCAACAGCTCCGGCGTCAACCCCCTGCTCCAGGCCGCAACCACGGCGTCGGCGCAGCACCAGGGCACCCCCGGCCCCGGCGAGGCTAACGGCACTCCCGGCGGCGCCCACCACTTCCACAGCCAGACGCCCACGAGCATCAAGCTGGCAGCGCTTCCCACGTATCTGGGCGAGTGGAACAAGAACGGCTTCGAGGAGGCCATGTTCCTCGGCGCGCAGGTCGCGGCTCGTATCGCCTTCTGCCAGCACAATCTGGATATGGCCGGCCTCGAGGCCCAGCGTCTGGCGAGCTTGAGCAGAATCGAGTACAAGTAAGTTTCTCCCCTCTTACTCTGACCGCGCATTCATATACTGATACCTTTTTTTTCACAGTGAGATGGGCCCCAAGGGCATCCGCACCCACTCGATGCTCAAGTAAGAGGGCAGCATGCTTCGTCGTTGTTTTCTCAGTCATGGAAAGCCGGGCCAGCGCAGGCGTGGGGGATACTTGGGATGGTAAGTGGTGAGAGAAGAAGAAAGACGAAAGTTTTGGCATCGACACGGGCATTTTTTGCTTGCCTTATACTGCTTGTCTTGTACCCCGTTTCCAAAGGGATGGGTATGAGATGTCGGCTTTACCGCGTTCTGGAGTTTTACGGACACATCAAAAACCCGGTGGTGTGAAGGCGTGGGGGATTGTTACTTTTTTTTTTTCCTTTTCCTTGTTAATGAAGCTACCGTGGTAGACTTGGCCATTCGCGGGGATTTACATATTGCTTCTCTCCTTGATTGTATTCAGCAGGCAGCTTCCTCTCCGTCGGCCCCTCAAGGAGGGGCCTGGAAGGGTTGCGCGATGGACTCGAAGTTGTAGAAGGGGAGGGGGTGAGCCAGTGTTTCCACGATACTCCCAATGCATAGATCATTCAGAACCACATTCGAGTTGTGACCAAACCCACAGAGGGTGTTTTTATTTGCCAGTGCCTATCATCATTTTACCGCTAGTTTGCGCTGCCAGTTTACCTGTTCATCATTCACGAGAGCTCCCGCTGATATCTCGCCATCTCACAACTCCTCCACAATCGCTCTCCCAGCAACAATTAGCTCCCCATACCAGTTTTCTCATCTGCTCCCGTCATCCACTCATCATCTCAAAACATCAAAGCACCTGCGCATATCTCAAACATCCTGCTCCGACTTGCCAGCGGGGTTCCACTTGGCCTGGCAGGTAGGGCACTTGGTACCCCAGCCGCTGCTCTCGCGTGCGAATGTGGCGAAGCATCCGGTGTGGGCGTAGTGGCCGCAAGTACCGCAGCATACCGTCTCCAAGTCGCCGAACGCCTGGTAGCAGACGATGCAGTCTTTGCCCTCCTTGGACTTGGGAACGCCATCCTTGAAGGCCGGGTCGTTGTCGATCTCGGCCTGGGTAGGGCGGATCTTTGGGGCGCGAGCAAAGATCGTGGCGAGCTCGTCGTCGGAGATCCTCCTCTGAGGGAGAATCTCGGCAGGAGCGCGCAAGACGTGCGTAAGGACATCTAGAGCATGGTGAGCAGATGCTAGTGATGCTGAGATGCGTGGGACTCACAGATGACATGCTTGCAGTTGCTTCGCGGGTTGAATTTCTTGCGAGGTGTTAGTGATTGCACTTCTATACTTTGATTGATGTAAACCACTTACGGCAGCGGAACAAGTGCACGACGTCTCATGCGCAATAGTGACGGTGTACATGTCGTCGCCGGCTCCACGGACAGCGAGCGAGAGCCGATTCGGGTTACCCCACTCGTCGTTGGCGTACTGCTTGATGATGTACATGCGCTGGGTCATGGCCTTCTTGGTGGACATGATGTGTCTATGGTCGTTGACAGGGACGCCGTTGCGTTGCTTCTTCGTGCTCTTGGGGGTGGAGCTGGCGCCCTCGTCGGCGGGATCAAAGCCCTCGGCGACGGGGCGGACGTCGACTGTCTGGCCGTCGTAGTAGGTCTGCCAGTTCTGCAGGCGGTTGACGAGGACCTGCTTCCGGCCGTCGGTGGGGACGTTGCGCATCATGAGCTGCTCCTTGATGATGTCGACGGAGAGCTTAGACCAGTCAGTTCCATCTGGAAGGGGGCCAGTCTTGATGCCTTACGTGCCGCGACCGAACCGAGTGAGGCGAGGGATGTCGGCGGGATATTGGAGGGGCTTCTTGGGTGTCTTCTTTGGGGTCTTTTGGGAGCCCTCGAGGAGGGTCTCCGGATCGTCCATGTCCATGTGAGAAGAAGACATAGTGGGGTGAAGTGAAGGTGGCTTCTGAGATCCCGCTGCAGGCAGGATTGTGCAAGTGTCGGGGATGGAAGAGGTAGGGTCAATGGCTCGAATTGTCGCGAAAGCCAGGGGTGACTTATGTACACGACAGTCCAAGGTTTTCCGTAATGTATTGATGTGAAAGTGGGAAAGCATAGATTGGGAAGGTGAGATGGGGGTGAAATATTTGAGCAGCCCGGCAGGAGCAGACTTCCTTGGTGGCCGCCCTTTCATTCTGGAAGGTGCGGCGAACCCAGCCGGTGGTCTTGCCAAAAAGGCAGACATGTTTGACCAGTTTCACTTTTTGCAATCTTTCAACGGCGCAACGATCCCAAAGATGTTCCAAGCAATTGATTTCAACAGAACGTCGTTGCAAGCGCCAAGGTGAAGTTATTCCCATTCAGAACGCACGTATCAACCCCGCGCCTCACTCATATCTTGATTTGTGCCATTTTCATCGACGAACTCAAAGTATTCTTCCATCTCATCTGAACTCGGTGGCCACTAAAGGCTGTAGCGAATGGGATTTACCGCAGTACCTAGAACTGTCGTCAATTGGTTCTCGGTGAGCGCCGGAGCCATCGGTGTAAGGAGTCCCTCGTTGGCAGGGGTCCCACGTGGCGTTGATGTTTCCCAGAGACCGTGGAAAGACAGGTGCGGGGGGTCCGTTTGACACTCTCATCTTCGCTTTTGACTTTCGCGCAGGTCGTAGCTGACCATACTGGGCCATGTACTTCTCTGCTATCTTTCCACGACGCCTCCGTTTGAAACGATTGACTCACCGAGGAAAAGAAAATTCCGGTCCTGCGTTGGTGTCTGCTGCTTTTCGGCAGCTGAAGCCTTTGTCCCAATCTGGCCTGTCAGGGTCGTGAAATGGGGTCCTGATTGGCTTCACCTAGCTACCCTGTCTAATTCTCTGCATCCCCCTGTAAATCAAGTGACTCAACAGCAGCGGAAGCCCGCTTGACCTCATCCCCTCTCTTCCATCATTCCCTCTACTGCGTAGTGTCAAAGTATTCAAGAACCTAGACTTCGGCCAACCTCTTCATCCCACGCTCATTGCCCAATACCCTTCTCTCACCCGTCCGCATCCTATCCCACAATGACCAGACGAAACATCAGTTCGGGCTCGGCCTTTGAGGCACAAATCGGCTACTCCCGCGCCGTAGTGTCGGGCGACCTTATCTTTGTGTCCGGAACGACGGGGTACGTTGCCCGTTTGAGAATTTGCGGCAGGGAACTTGACAATGAGACAGGTACAACTATGAGACTGGAGTCATCTCGCCCAACATCGTCGAGCAAACCGAGCAAACAATGGAGAACATCGCTGCCGCTCTCGCTGCGGCCGGCGCGGAGATGAAGGACGTTGTCCGCGTACATTACATCTTGCCCGACCGCAACGACTTTCAGATGACTTGGCCTGTTCTGCAGAAGTGGTTCGGCGATGTGCGCCCGGCTGCCACCATGATTCAAGCCGGTCTGATGGAGGAAGCCATGAGGATTGAGATTGAAGTCACGGCCAAGAAGGAGTCGGCAGCTTGAACTGAGCCAGTGTGAACAGCCTGAAAGAAGCCTGCCATGTACATACCGCTCAGCTCTTCTGCTGGTAAGAATGCACGTGTAGTCGAACCCAAACGCTAGAAACTTTGTACTATAGAACGAAGACAGACAGCTTTAGCATCGGCCACACCGCCGTCCATGTGTCAAACATGCAGCAGTCAGCCATTGGGAGGACATTGTAGCCTCACTTAGAATGCCGGTTCTTGTCTTGGACTCTTCAGATGAAGTTGAGACGGGAACTGGACAGTTGGTCGGCGACCATACAAAGTCTCGACTCTTCCGGTGACTACAGTTGGCTAGGGCCACGACTAGCTTCTATGGTCGCCGACCTCCCAACATGACGTCCACCTTGGGTTTCCCGCATACCACTGCAGAACCCCGGATTTGTACGACCTGGTCCACACAGAAGTGGCTGAGACACGGGTAAATGTTTCAGAAGATTTCGCTATGGGTGCCGCTATGCAAGAAGAACGACGACTACAGATGTATCTAGTGGAAATATGAGGCAACCAGGGCTCCCGCGCCAAACATGGACATGATGGTGACAAAACTGGCTGTAGAAAAGATGGACACGCCACTGAGACCGTGTCCGGATGTGCAGCCTCCCGCTATTCTGGATCCGAGGCCAATCAGGAATCCGCCCGCTGCAGCGAGCTCCGGCGACACGGCCGTATCCGCGGCACCGAGCGCAAACGCCGGATACGCGTTTGCGAGTGCCCAGGCACCCGCGGCCAGACCGGCTGAGAAGAGGATATTGCTGTACGAAGCCGGCTTGCCCTTCTCACCGCCGCCCTGGACAACCCACCAGAAGTATCTGCCAATCTCGTCGTAGGATGTTGACACGCCCAGCATGGACTTGCGTGTCAACAGGGAGAAGAGTTGGGCGAGACCGATGAAGAGGCCGCCGATGGTGGGCGCAACGACGGCATAGGGGCTAGCCGGGGTGTACTTCATCGTAGCATAGATGACGCCGGCGAACACGGCCTCGATGCCGATGAAGGAGGCTACCCTGCTGATACCAGCGCGCTCATGGACGGTGAGCTTCGGGTTCTCAGGGGCGGCTTTGACGGCGTTGGACGTAATGGCCTTTTGGAGAAAGCCGGTCCATGCGATACCCGCTGAGACGGCGCCAGCGAGCACGTAGATGCCAGACTGTGTACCCACCGCGATCTGGGCCAGGACGGTGCCCGGGCAGGAGCCGGAGAGGGCCATGCCGGCGCCGAGGATTGAGCCACCGAGGATGTTGCCGTCGTACTCGGAGAAGAGGCCCAGACGAGAGGGGCTGCGGGGTTTAGGGCGGACGTAGCCGAGCTTGTCCAGAGTGACAACAATAAGTCTGGTCAACGGCGTCAGCGACGTGTTCATGCACGAGGGAAGAAAGCGCAGCATACGTGCTACTGGCGGCCGCGGCAAGGAACGCTTGGATCATGTGCCAGTTCTCCAACTTGAGCTGAGCAATAATGACGGAGGGCTGATATACGCCCGCTCCCACCAGAGCGGCACCGAAGGCGGCGCCTGACAAGACGGTCGCCATGGTTATGGTTGGTCGCGGGTTTACTGAGATGAACCGGGTTGGTGCGAAGCAGCGCAGGTTTTTATATGAGTGGTTGCCGAAACGAGTGAAAAACCTGATGATGCGTGGAGAGAGTCTATCTCCAAACGCCAAATCTCGTTAGGCTTGTCGGATGAACTTATACGGTTTTTCAAACGTGTAAAACGAGAACGAGACTACAGTCAGGGGAAAAGGCCGCCGGACGGAGGGAGTCTCTGTTGATTACAGAATCAAGCCCGAGAGGCAATGAGCGTCGGGGACTTGGAAGAAAGCAATGGCTATTAATGGCCTAAAAATATGGTGGTTTCAGTAGCGGGGCTCCATTTATTAAACCCCGTCGTCGCAAACGCCGCGCTTCCCCCTCTGACCTAGGTGAGCTCCCGCCCCAGCAGAGGGGTCCCTGCCAATGGGGCGACTCCGTCGGCAGTGTTGCCGTCCGCATCTGCGTCGTAATATACCGGGTATCTACACGTCGGCCGTTGGTTCGGCTCATTGTGGACGTAGTCCTAGATTCGAGAGATGGGTGGCGTTGAGTTAGTCTTGACTCGGCGTCCATTGCGCCTTCTTCTCCCCCGCTAACGACATGGCGCTAGATGATTCCAAAAAAGCAATGCTCTGGACGAGGGAGCGCTGCTTCGGAAACGCGGGAAGGCCTGTTCTCGCAAGAAAGCCATGCGACAACTACAATGGGAGATGGGCATCGCGATGTGGAACAATTAAACAGCCAAGACGACGACGATGCATCAGTGTGGGAGGTCGGCATTCACCAACCAGAAGCCGGATAGCGAAACTTGATTGGTGAAGCAGAGTCTCAAGGGGATCAATAAGGTTGCATCAGGGGTCAGCGCTCCCGCACTGGGGTGTACCTTGATAAGCATGCTTTCGCAGGGTTGAAAGTCCCCGAGACCTGGGGCACCGGTGACCGTTTCCACTCCAGGTCGCCGACGTCGGGAAACAGTCCGGGGCACGGGCGTCGCCGGAGAGTGGGTCCGTTCACCGGGATGCTGCCTCCAAGGACGCGCTTTTGCGGGGGCTTGCTCGGTGACCACGGCGTCAACGGTCGGAGGAAGATGGCGTTGATAGGCGGCGAGGCTTATGGGATATGTTTCGACGTGTCGATATAAGACTCGGTTGAGAGGCCGCCTCGATTAAGACTTTGCGACGCACTCCTGCGCAATACCGAGTGAACCGCATCCAAGTCCTAATAAGACATATCCATCCGCAGAGTTACCCGAAAATGGCTCCAGAACCAGTTATCCATGAAATCTTTGAGCCGGTGACGGGTACATGGCAGTACATCGTCGCTGATCCCTCCACCAAGGCAGCCGTCATCATCGATTCCGTTCTGGACTTCGACCCCGCCAAAAGCGCAATCTCCACAAAGACCGCCGACGACCTGCTTGAAGTCATTCGCGAAAAGGGCTACAGGGTCGGCATGATTCTCGAGACGCATGTCCACGCCGACCACCTGACGGCGGCCAAGTACCTGCAGTCCCGGCTGCGGGAGGCGCAAGACGGCGCAGCGCCCGAGATCTGCATTGGCTGGCGGATCGGAGAAGTGCAAGAGAGATTCGCAAACAAGTACGGCATCGCTGAGGAGGAGTATGCCCACACCTTTGACCGGCTATTCGACCAAGACGAGGTCTTCAGTATCGGCGGATTAAAGGCAAAGGCCATCCATTTGCCAGGTCATACTCCCGACCACATGGGGTACATGGTCGGAGGTAAGCTCCCAAAAGCAGAAGTTTGGAACGGGCACTAACACGCCGCAAAGCCAACGTCTTCGCGGGCGACTCGCTCTTCAACCACGACGTCGGTTCCGCCCGCTGCGATTTCCCCGGCGGCAATGCTAGAGACCTCTTTGCTTCGGTGCGGAAGCTGCTTGACTTGCCTGAAGACACCAAAGTATGGACAGGCCATGATTACCCACCAGAGGGTCGGGGCCCCGTAGCGGCGACCGCAGTTGGTAAGCAAAAGACCGACAACAAGCATCTCGGCAACGGAGTCAAGGAGGAGGAATTCGCCAAGTGGCGCGAAGGGAGGGACTCGGGGCTCGGCGAGCCCAGACTGATGCACTGGGCTCTACAGATCAACATCAGGGCTGGCGACATGCCCAAACCAACCAAGAGCGGCGACCGGTTGCTGCATGTGCCTGTCAAGATGCAGGGCGTGAACTGGTGATTTTGAAACTTGGGCAGTGTGATGCCACTTTGTCTTGAATTTACATCCGTATGTGTAGATTAGCGTGTCTTCGAGAATTGTAAACGATACCAATGCAGAAGACGTCGCATTTTGCGCCTTGTCATTTGCGAATTCTGGTTGGTTGACGACGTGGAAGCCGACGATGGGCTTCAGCGAAGATCATTTCAGGTGGCCCATGCGCTGGGGCTTCTCTCAGCGCTCAACCCCCCAAAATGCCGAGGTTCCTCACGGCCGTCAGCGTCATTCAATGCGGGGGCCGGTCCCCCGGCTGTGTGGAGGTTGAGCCGGGGAACGTCCATCTCCCCCACGCAATTGCACCGTCTCCGCCGGGATTGGGATACACCTCATTAATAATCATCACCGAACGTGCAACTTCATAAAAACGCAGTCTTGTCAATCTCACCTACCAGTGGACCGAACGGCGTCAATTATACGCAGCAGAAGACTAAGAAGACTTATACTCAAAAGACTATTACGATGCCGTATTCCATCACGGTCAAACAGATCGAGGGAAAGCCCGGGAAGGTCTACTACCCGTAAGATACAATTCATCTGCTGGTCGATCTCATGATGGCTTACACAAACATACAGTCTGCAACTCAATGAAGTCCCAAAACCCTCCCCAGGCCCTAAGCAGGTCTTGGTGAAGCTCACTGCGGCGGCACTGAACCACCGTGACCTTTTCATCCGGCGCCATCTTTATCCCGGCATCTCATTCGACCACCCACTACTTGCAGACGGCTACGGCTTTGTTGTCGAGGTTGGCGAGGGTGCCAGCAAGGACCTCCTGAACAAGCCCGTCGTCATAACCCCAAGCCGCGGCTGGGCCTCGAGTCCCGATGGCCCCGAGGACGCTCGCAAGTTCAGTGTGATCGGTGCAACCAAACTGTACCCTGACGGCACCGCACAGGAGTATCTTGCTCTTCCCGAAGCCGAAGTCGAGCTGGCACCGGAGCACTTGACGCCAGCCGAGGGAGCCGCACTGCCCCTTGTGGGCCTCACTGGCTGGCGTGCGTTGGTCACGAAGAGTGGCAACGCTGAGAAGGGCAGAAACATTCTCGTCACGGGCATTGGCGGCGGCGTGGCGCTCCAAGTTTTGCAGTTTGGCGTGGCGCTCGGCTGCAATGTCTATGTCACCTCGGGCGATGAGGCGAAGATCGAGAGGGCCAAGAAGATGGGCGCGGCCGGCGGTGTAAATTACAAGGAGGACGGCTGGGAGAAGAAGCTCCAAGGCCAGCTTCCCAAGTCACGCCCTTACCTCGACGCTGTCGTCGATGGTGCCGGGGGAGACATTGTGGGCAAGGCCGTGAGGCTGCTCAAGCCCGGCGGTGTCATCAGCCAGTATGGCATGACCGTGTCGCCGCAGATGGACTGGTTGATGCAAGCGGTGTTGAAGAACGTGGAGCTCAAGGGTACGACAATGGGCTCGCGAGATGAGTTCAGGGAGATGGTTGCCTTTGTCAGAGAAAAGAAGATTCGGCCGATTGTCAGCCGGACGGTCAAGGGACTGACGAATCTTGAGGGTATTGACAGTCTGTTCAAGGACATGGAGGCTGGCAAGCAGTTTGGTAAGCTGGTCGTTGAGTTTGACGAGTCTACTGCGGCGTCAACATCCAAGTTGTAGATGAGTTGGTAGAAAGTGCGATTCGGGTGTGTCCTAGCTTTTTGTGTTTGCTGTCCGTGTATCACCTGCCGGTCTTGTTCCTGTGCCACAGTGAGAAAACATCATAGAGTCTTCAATTTCAGCCGGCATACTTGGCACTGTGATTACAGACTTATCTGACAAACAATTTATAGGTGCTCTTATGATGTCTACTAGACTCTGGTTCGTTATTATTGCTGTTATGTTTCTATTTGGCGTTTCTGAATAAAGCAATCCAAGTGCATCGTGGCCGTCCTGGGAAGGAACGCTGAGGAGGTCATTCCCAGTTCAACTCATAAGGTAGTACCTTAGATTAAAACAGTGAACTTCAACAGCAATAGTCAAAGCTTCCTCCTGAATGTCAACATGCAGCAGATAGACGACGTAGGCAGATGGATAGTTACCCACGAAGTCCTACAGAACTGCAAGGGCCATCTCATCTTTGTACACATTTCTTCTCTTGTACTTTCTCATCTACTGGGCATCAGCCAGCCATCCCTCTCACTTTCAACAGTGAATTTTGTTTACTGTGCTTGCTCCTTCCTTCCTTCTTTCCTCTTTCATCTAAGGAAGGTGCTCCTTCCTTGGGCTTGTTTTACACCTCGCTTAGAGGGCCCTCCCACTTCACCTCTTGTCTCTTGCTCCTTACGTCCCTTTTTCACCCACTACCTACCTCACCTCACACCCTTTCCTTCCTTTTACCTATCCTCTACCACAGACTTTCTCTCAAACGCCACTCCTCAAAGAACAACAACCACTGTCAACATCACGCTTCCAGCACCATCCTCCCCTTCAAGATGCGGCACAAGGCCTTCTTCGCCATCTCAGCTGTGGCCTTCATGCTTTTCATGGGTGTGAGTGCTGTCGCTATCGATGCCGCTGTTGCCATCACCAGCAATATCAACATTGAGCACGGCATCAACAACAACCTCAAGCAATCCGTTGCTCCTGCCCATATCAGCACCAAGCGTGCTAACGACCACACCGACAAGTCTGCCTCCTCCATCAAGTCCGCCCCTGCTGTCAACTTGGGCAAGGTTCCTTCCCAGCTTACTCTCGGTCCCCATCTCGCTCCTGCCACCTTCCACCATGAAAATCCTTTCAGCATCACTGAGCAGGAGGCCATCAAGCGCGGCATCAAGCTGATCCCTATCGACCCTGAGCACTGGAACGCCCTCCTGGCCGCCTCCAACCTCAACAACACCACCAGCAGCCCCGACATCTCCGAACTTCGCCGCCGCGAGGTCGATCCTCCCGACCCGACCGACTGGTGTACTCCGAACAAAGACCCCAGCCAGTGCATGTTCGGCGCCTGGTGCCACGAGATGAGCAACAGAGATGTCCCCAACCGCGCCTGGGTCTTCTACAACGATTGCGAGCTTACCGGCGACCTCCACCCTTGGACTTGGGGCGTGTGGCACGACATCTTCTCCGGCCTTCGCTGGGTCACCGTCTTCTTCATCAATCAGATGCGCTACCCGACACTCAAGTACGCCGGCCGCGAGTGGGGCAGCTGGGACGACGGCTGGGAGCTCTACTACCCGTACGGAACGATGGGAATGTACTACTACCGTCGCTACTTTGACTGCTCTGGTTAAAGTCGCAAACGGGACTGATACGTTGACGGAAAGAATACGCCGAGAGAGAATGTGCTCCATGGACCAAGCGCCGTTGGGCACTGGCAGCGTCCTGGACCAGGAAGGATCAAGATCGGAGATATGCAGAGAGAAGTTGCTTGGACAAGGGATTTCGTTGGAAGCCGAAGTCATCGTGGTTCTCTAGGGTAGCTTGGTCAACTTTATTCTCAAGTCAACTTTATTCTCAAGTCAACTTCATTACATACACACACACCCCGCTAGTGCTGCCATCGTGACATTGCACGCTCTGATGTACAGCTATTGACCTGATGCATCTCCAGCAGTCTGCCACTGCTAACGTGAGAAAGCTCTTGAAATCTTGAATGGAAGGGTATCTTGGGCGAGCTACCATCTCACCAATGTGCGCGGCGACCCCTTTTCTGCGGAGATGCAACAGGCGTCCACCACTCCAATCTACATGATAATCTCCACCACGCTCAACACCGCCGCCTCTCACTCGTCGTCCTCGCTCTTCTTTCTCTTCTTCCTCTTGTGGCCCAACTCTTCGGGCGGGACGAAATCCTTTTCCCTCTCGCGCAGCTTCTCCTCCTTCTTCTGCTTCTGCTGCTCGATCCTCTCGGCCTGGGCGGCCTTGGCCTTGGCCTCCTTGCCGAGGAAGTACTCTCCCGTCTCGATCTGCTTGTCGACCTTGCTCTTCTCGGGCGCCGGCGGGAAGGGCGTGTACGTCTTCTTGGCCTTGTCGGTGACCTTGAGCGGCACGCGTCTCTTGCTGAGCGTCTTTTTCTTGAAGTTGGGCAGGAAGCGGTCCCAGCTCTCGCTCGCAAGCTCCGGGTCCTTTGCGAGCTCGCGCTTGATCATGAGCTCCTTGATGTGGTAGATGGGGTGGATGTTGTTCATGCAGTCCTCGACGACGCGGCGGACCTCTTTCAGACCCTTGTAGGGTCCCATGACCGAGACGGTGCTGCCCTGCACGAGGATGTAGGTCTGGGTGAGCAGCTCCAGGGCCTTGAGCGTCGAGCCGTTGGGGCCGAGGATGCGCTGGCGGCGCTTGACGTAGCGCTCCTTGTTGCGCACGAGACTGCGGATCTTGATGACATCGCAGGCGATGCCGTCGTCGAGAATCTTTATGGCCTGCGGCGCGGGGACGCTTCGAGCGAGGAGCTTGATAAGGTCGCGGGCGTTGAGGATGGCGGCGGGATCGAATGTTTTTCTTGTCTCGTGTTAGTGGACTTGGCCGTAAGGATTGTGCCAGAGGACGAGACAAGTCTCTTACCTTGTCGTCTTGACGGTCATAGAACCTTCAATCAAGTCGAGCGAGCAGGCAATGCCGTGCTTCTCGAGAGACTTGGTGACGAGAGGCCATGCCTCCTTCAGGTAGACTTCGCGGTACTTGGGGAAAACAATCGCAAAGGACGACTCCTCGGCGAAAGTGCCGCCAGCATTGTCGGCAGGAGTGAAAGGGTCGACCTTCCACTTGTCGATATCGTCCGTATCCCACGGCTTGTCCTTCTTGTATGTGGAGGGCATCTTGGCGGATGTCGTGTGTGATTGATTGAGGATGGATGCTGCGCCTGTTCGTTTCGAAAAAATGCGGCGGCAGTACAAGCCATCGAAAAAAAAAAAGATTCTTATCGATAAAAAGCATAAAAGCGGGGCTTTGTCGGTCAGCGGGAGCACCGTGGGCTCACCGAAGCCACCCAAGGTCCACCTAGGTAGTAAGAGTCAGGTTCGAATCATGTTGCCAACTGACATAATGTGTTCATGCTGTTTCTCTAAAGCCTCTTCTCATCCGGTTTGATTGAATTGCTAAGGTTGACCTACTGAGGGAGTGGCTTTGTCTCGGAGAAGTTACGATTGTCCTCAGTGGCTTCCTTGTTTTCTTCTTTCGCGTCATCTTTCATGATGACTTCTAGACGAACATGTCTCTTGAGTTCAGGCCAAGACGACACCAATTACCTTCTATCTTCTAAATAATAACGAAATGGCAGGTATCAGCTAATCTGACTCCTGCCGCCATCATCGACCATCCCGTACTGAAGTCTGTGGACACATGCAATGAAGGCCCCCTCTCAACAATTGCATCAAAAGCTTACCCCAGATACCGAAAGCCGGTCTCCGAGCATGATAGCCAGACATCGTGATCACCTACATCCATCATTGGTCAAGTCTAGAGCTCCTTGAACGTCTTCGGCATTATCGGCGATCAGATAACGGCACTGCTTCTCCCACACAGCAGGGGCGTTGATATGCCCCTATTACGTTGACAAAACCTCAACTTGACCCATCTCAATCTGCACAATAAGGCTGAGGGGCACTCCACCGAGAGTGCGGCATCCGGTCCAATCATTGTGCATCTTCTGCCAGTCCCCGGACTGCAACTAAGCAGAGAAGCGTGATAGGCCAAGCTGTCGCGCAGGGAGTAATTTGCCTTGCTCTCGTTAAGGGGACGAAATGGTAACACACCATCGTGGTGCCTGACTTTTCAAACACACTTCCAAGAACCAAAGCGGTTACTTAATGTCTAAGACCTGGTTGTCAGAGCTTCACCGAATTGCTTCCCCGCCAAATTGAACTACTTTCGCAGGTACAACCCACTGTGCGATCGATCGACGCGCTCTCGACTTCTGAGTCGCTATCCGGACCGTGCTCACCTGCAGCAACTAATATTTTTTTTTTCTCCCCTTCCTTGCTTTCACGCATCTCTGTCCCGCCTGAGCTGCGCGCGCACCTCCACGTCTCCTGCAACATCGAACTCGGCGCAGGCTTACCTCGATACATCAGACGAGACTCTCACAGGCCAACACGTGGTTCTCTTTGCTGAGAAATTTTCAACTCCACGCGCAAGAAGACGATCTCGACATCGCGCAGCCTCGATACCTCCTTCTCCACACACGAACGCGATCATCCCAGCAATCGTACGGCCGACGCCTGCTCTTGCGCCTACATCGACGTCCATCTCACAGACCGACTCAACCTCGCGAATCGGTCTTTTCATCTCACGATATCGGCCTGCTTTCACCATCAAAGTCAGCAACCTCGGAACCTCGATCGACTCTGTTCCGCATCTCGTCTGCATCTCCTCAGCGACGCTCAACAACGACCGCCCTCTCCTTCTCAAGCGCACAGAGTCCAAAGCTCTTTCCGACCGACCATGGAGGAGGGCACAGCACTTTCCGGCCTCCCGCCGCCGCCGACGACCCTCGAGCCCATCTCCCGACCGAGTTCGACGTCAACATCGGCATCCGCTTCTCTGCAGCAGTTGCCAGGCATCTCGGCGCTTGCGCAAGCCAACTCCACGACGAGCTCGCCACAGCTGCGGTACGTGATATCTCAGGCAAGGGCGGACGGAGGAGCCGACATTGCGTCTTGCACCTTGCAAACGCTATGCGCCCTCGTTCCGCACCGTGGCCGATAAAGTGGAGGGATAAGAACTGATAGCTGGTGATCCACAGAACCGCGACTATTCCTGCGCCCGCGCCCGCACCCGCGCCTGCGCCTATGACAGCACCCGCGCCCGCGCCAGCGCCCACGCCGACTCCCTCTGCGCCGATGCAGCAGCCTACCTATGCTTCTCCGGCGGCCACTACCGGCGGAGGATCCACTTCTGGCACTGTGAGTCCCTGTCCCTCTCCGTCGTCGTCCTCTCTCTCTCTGTCGCCGTCGTCCTCCGTCGTCCCCCATCGTCCCCTGTCGTCCCCCGTCCTCGTCGTTGTCGTCCCCCGCCGTCGCCTCTGTCTCCGATACCTATCTTGCATCGATACCACTTTCCGCGCCAAATAAGCGTTGTCGGTGGTTGGCTCTCAGTGGCCAGATAAGGACCCCTGCAAGTGTGGGGCCCGCTGGTTTATGTGGGTCTGATAAGATATTTTATCAACTCAACTCTGCTGCCCCCTTCAAGAAGCCCGCCCGTCCCATCATCGCGAAGTCGAAGTGCCATATCCCACTACACAACCCTCAACACTCTTTTACAACAGAACACGCAGACGAGGGTGACCAGAGACGACAGAGACGATAGCGAAGATGATGGCCACCGCTAACCAGGAGCAACCCACGCAGCCCACTTGCCAAAACTGCCAAACCTCCACAACGCCTTTATGGCGCCGCGACGAATATGGCTCGGTTCTCTGCAACGCTTGCGGTTTATTCCTCAAATTACACGGACGTGCACGCCCAATAAGTTTGAAAACGCGCGTTAATTCTCTTCATTTTGATGTATTGGGGTGTTGCTGACGATCTATAATAGTGATGTTATCAAGAGTCGCAATCGTGTGAAGACGATGCGCCCAGATCTCGCGAAGAAGAAGGTACGCGCGCGAGCTCTTTATCTCTTTCCGGTTGTGGGTCCACTGGCTAACTCGAAGAAAGCAGCAACAGCAACAAGCCGCCAACTTCGCCGGTGCCGATCCGAACGGTATGGACCTAAACAACGCAGCGCGCAGGAAGTCCGCGAACGGCAATATCGACGGCTCCGACTCTCCAGTATCCCGTACGGCTACGCCTTCCCTCTACAACCCAAGCCTGCCTGTCTTCGGGAATATGGACGACTCACAGCTGGGCTTCAACGTCGGCGGAGAAAACCGCTCCGCATCCCCTCTGAACGGCGACCGCCATCTCGACGTCCCGCAAACCCACGAACAGCTTATTGCAGCCAACTCAGCTCTGAAAACCCGCGTCAGCGAACTCGAATTGATCAACGAGCTCTTCCGCGGAAGGCTCAGCCAGATGGAGCAAGACGAGGCAAGCGCGAGGAGAGGGCAGGAGATTAGCGGTAAGGCCGAGGCGCAGCTACGATCGCAGTTGGAGGCCAGCAACAAGCAACTGGAAGACAGCCATCGAAGGGAGAACAACCTCAAGAGACGCCTCGATGAAATGGAGCTTGAGCTTAAAGAGGCTAAGGAAGCTGCCGACTCGTCTTCCGAGTCTGGTCGAGCCGCCAAGAAGCTGCGCGTTGCCGATATGGTGGGCGACTCGGAAGTTTCTACCCCTCAGTCAACTACCGCGTAAGGGCGGTGATGGACGACGGGGACGGACGACGGGGACGGACGACAGCAATAGGGACAACGGCGATAGGGACAACGGCGATAGGGACACCGACGATAGGGATACCGACAGCATCGATACCGGGGGCACTGGCGGCGGCGGTCGGAGATGCTGAGCGCCGGCAGCAGGCGTGACAACGGCAGGCGCGGCGGCAGAGGTGGGGCCGGCGTTGGTGTAGTGGCAGGAGCAACGGCTACTGCTACTTCCGCGCGAAAATCTCCCCTCAAGATGGAAGGAGCGATGCAGATGCAGACTTCTTTCTCGATGCCTATACCTATAATTTTGCGTTTTTTTCTTTGCTTTTGCTCTTTCTCTTCATAACGTCTACTTATGCTACGTTGTCTGTCCCACGGGGCAGATAACTACGAATGTTCGGGTCGCTAGAGAGTGGTACATAGGCGTTGAAGGCCTATTGGGTTCGAGTTACATTTTCAGGCCTCGGAGCGCTTGCGAGGCCTTAATCCAGGGACGACTGAAAAGGGGCGAAGTGTTAGTGGTCGTGGCTGCTGAAAAGGAGCCTGAAATGTCTGCTTTGCGTGGAGTATATAGGATACCTTCCTTGCGAGGTTGCGGGAACTAAAAAGTCTTTCGTCGCGATTGAAAATAGAGGCAATAACACTATTATGATGTGAGAGACTCGTCCTTGCTCTCGTCTCTCTCTTCGCCGTCGTCTCTCTCGCCGCTATCTCCTTCGTCCTTCCTGCTGTCGTCCTTCCTGCTGTCGTCCTTCCTGCTGTCGTCCTTACTGCTATCTTCATTGCCATTATGTTGCCTCTGCTTCGGTTTTCTTTCTTGCTGTTGTCCTTACTGTTGTTATCCTTGCTGCTGTCAACCTTGATGCTGTCGACCATGATGTGCCGGTTCCCATCTTTTGAGTGTCTTTCAAGCGAACTGCCCGGAAAATGTATGCCCTTATTGGGCTTGTATGAATGTCGCATCGTCGTCAAAAGGGGGTCGCCGTCGACTTTCTCTTAACTGAAGATTGTTGTTATTGCTACCGCCATGGCCATACGCTTGTCTTTTGATTTACTGAGTGCCTTTTGCTATGTTCTGATGATACTATTGCCCCGCGGTTTTACTTTAGTCCTTAATTTGAGAGGGAGTCTATCGCCTAATTCATGGCTACAAACTTCAATTACCAGACAATTTGATAAGTAACTTTGAGTATCTGTCAAGAGAAACTGCCGGCAGTCTGGTGTGCAACAAGATAAGCCTAGTGCCTTTCAAGTGCCCAAGATACTAATTAAAGCCTCCGGCTTCCTTCCTGCAACAGGTTTGATATTGAACTGCCCATGTCTACTCTACGCGTAGTTTCGCCTCGAGGAGTTGAAGTCAAAGATCTATTAGCTCAAACCACTGCCGGTGATGCTAGACTCTCCTCCGCCAGGGGAACTGGGGCGATAATCGGACGAGGTCTTCGCTTTGCCCTCGAATCGTTGGGATGCGGGCTCCTCGTGAGTGCTGAGTGCTGAGTGGTGACATATCACTGTGTCTAACGGTGGAAATTTCCGGGCAGCAGTTGTCGACCGAGCTCACCGTTCTGCCAAACCCAATGGCAGTCTGGGGAGAAAGTAATCCGAGCTCAGGAGACGATAACAGGAGCGAAGTGTCATGTTACCAGGTTCGTGGCCCATGAACCAACGAAGGTGGAGGGAGTCCAGCGAGTAGGTGTGAAAGTGTCTGTCTTGTCCTGCTTGTGTATCTGACTACCTTAGCTTAGAAGTGCGGCTCTGTGGCCCGCCGCAAGCGGTGAGGGCCCATGCCAAGTATACTCTTCAATTCAGAAGATCACTCGGCAGATTCTAATATCATTCAATATGCTTTCCCATTTGGCCCTTGATTTTTGATACTCGATAGGCGAAGTTTGGCAGCACTGCCCAGAATGCAGTTTCGTTAAAACATCTGAAAAGCCCAGCTGTGATTATCAACGTCAGGATCCACACTTAGGACGGATTACCAAACGTAGGAGCCGTGTTAATCTCAGGGAAAGGGTTCGTGAACTCCGGCTTCAGGGGCGGTATACCCGTCTCGTTGAATTCGGGGAACTCAGTGTTCTAGTTCTTGAACATTTACTGTCACCTTCTTCAATATTTGTGCATTAGTGACAGGCAAGTCCCGTCGTTTAAGAAGAACATCAGGCTACCTTAAGTACCTTAGCTGAAGGAAAGATAGGTATAGGTGCTTCACACAGAAGAAGGACGACGGCAACAGGAAGAACGATGGCGACAAGGACAACAACAATAAGATTAACAGTAGTAAGAGTAACAGTAGTAAGGATGATGAGAGTAAAGATGAAAGAGATAGCTATAAGATAGATAATAATAATAAAGATAATAAGAATTATAATAATTAACTAAATAATAAAGAAAGTCTAGAAAGAAAATCAATATATAATATTTACATTACTATTACATACTTATATATAGATAATATTTATAATTAGCTGTTTTAGTATACACTTTAATAGATGATAAAGCATATCTTTGTAAGGGTGTGCAAGAAGTTAGCAATGTAATTCCAACTGATGTAATAGACATACATATAGAATTAATCTATGTAGCTTTTCTGCGGAAAACGCAGTACGAATCACACGGGGTTCTGAAACGTGAATGACCTAGGTGCTGATAATACTAATGCCAGATGTGGGTGGCCAAAGAGCTGGGCACCACATGTCTTTTGATTGTGAGGAATTTCCGTTGATGCATCTTCCCTCAGCTGCGGCATGGTAAACACGCCGGGGCGAAACATGGGCCTCGGCGCGACGGACGGAGGGCAGCGGGCCCCACAAAGCCGAGGGAAGTCGTTGGGAACAACGGCCAAACCGCCGGCGAAGAGGCAGGGATCCGTGTGCATCGGCGGCCCCAAAAAAGATACCGCAGAACGGGAGGGGAGGCCGGGATGTGGTGGAGAAACCGCTGGAGAAACCGCTGTCACAGCGCAATGGGAATCCACGTCCCCCCGCCCCATATTTCCCCCGCCTGGGGCTTTTTCAGCTCTTCCTCCAGCTCCCTCTCTCTCTCAGTGACTTTGAGTTGTTCCGTGGCTGATTGCCCCCAAGACTTGGCTCAATGTTTTGCATATCTCACACTTCGAGGCGGCGAATGCCAGGCAGGTCTTGACTTCTCTCGTCAACAGCCGAGCCGCCACACCCCCTTGCGCCGTTCCTCGCATGGCCTCTATTCGTTTTCGTGTATGCGATGTCCCTTTCCGTCGAGCGGGCACGTCAAGCGGCGTTTCTTATCATTTCTCTTATCAGTAGCGCAGCATCCATTGGTTTGGTGGACAGGGATAGCTGCAGTTGGGGACTTATCAGCAACAACACTTTGGTTTTGTTACCTAGTGTTTTAGTGTTCTAGAAAGAGATTTTTTTTTACTAATAAGCTTTGAGGTATTAACAGATATCCTGCTATTTAGCTTTATCTCCTAAGGTTACAGAGAACCCTAAGGGAAAGGATTAGCGTAGCTATAACTAACTAAGCTAAGTAAAGATTATAGTATTATAGCTTTATTTCTATTATATATATTACTCTTAGTATAGCTAAAATATTAATAGGTTTTAGTTTTAATTATTATAATACTATTAATATATATAATAATATTACTAATAACTTTAATTATACTTTAAATCTCTACTATTATATTAGTTTTTAGCTAATTTTTTTTAACTACTATTTTAACTTTAAGAGAAGTATTAATATCTTAATAGTAAATAACTTAAATAACTATTAGAATATTTAGATATACTTCTTAAATATCTATATAGCTCTTCTTAGTATTATGTAATATAGAGTAGTAATTTACTAAACTTAGTAAGATCTTAAAGTTATACTAATTACTATTAATAATAGTACTTTATACTAAGTATTAAATATAGTATAGTTAAATACTTTAAGAACTTTAATATAGTAAATAGCTTTATTAGCTAAGATATAGTAGTATTAAGCGTAAGAGGATTTATAGTAGTGTAGTTACTATCTATAAGTACTCTATTAATTAGTCTCAAAAAGTCTCTTTTTTAAACCACGTAGCTTATATAACGCAGTTACCTGGGGCCGAGGCCCGCAGGCATTATCAGCAACAACACATCGGCCGTGCGTGGAAATTGTCTTATCTGTTAGACATTAAAGTCTTTGGGGTTATCTGCGGGAGCCACTAGGAAAAAGCAAATGCGAGTCCCCTTGATTGCCTCCCACAATTAGAATTCCATAGGGCTCTCTCTCCCGCAGCAGTTTTTGTGAACCCATGGAGAATTACTATGTACACCAAGTGAGGCGCAGCAACGCCATGTAGAACGCCTCGTGGGGTAGGGTAGAGCAACAAGTGGCGAGGGCAAATTCACAGAGAGCCAGTGAGGGTGAGGGGGTATGTAGCAAAGAATGTCCCGGGCATCTGGTTACGATGGATTGAGGGGCAATTTCCCAGTCTTGCCTGCGAATTCCAGGTCTTGTGCGCCGAGGTCGAACGCTTGAGGGAGCCCAGAGTCAAATCAAGGTGCCATTGGAAAAAAAAAATTAGCTAGCGGATGGCGAGAAAAAAAAAGAGGCGAAGAGGTGCATCCTCCAATTGCCCCCTTGACCAGAAGGTGAGGTGACTTTGAGGAGAAAAAGATCTCCCTACATCCATGGATTGACCCTCGCGCGGGCGGCCCGTGGTCCAAAAAAGTCGTTCATGGGCTAGCTCGGACAGCCGGAGCACGCAAACGCGCAGCTTCGTAGCATTAGGTTGGTTGGCCTGGCCCTGTGGGTGGTGGGGTCTACCTTAGTTCTGGCCCCCGGCCGCCGACGGATTAGAGGGAAAAGGCTGGCTTGCTGGGCGAACTTTGTCACGGAACTCAACGAAACTACGGTACGCTTCCCCTAGCACCAAAGATGCACAACCACCAACCAACGCCTTGCATCTTCTCCCACCTACATCCTTCCTGTGCCCGTGCGGAGAGCACCCCATGGGCGAGCTGGACGAATGGGGGAGAAGAGCGGAGGGAATCGGGGGATCGGACGGGAAAAGAGGGACGGTTAGAGTAACCGTGGCGTGCTGAGGTGGTGTGCCTGCATGGCCTTTGGCCGTACTTCTACACACACGCAGCACAATATACATACAACACGACACCCACTCCAGTCCAGAGTTCGACTGCACGCACGCCCGCATTTATTTCGCCATTCGAGCTCTTGTTTTACCTGTTGATTCCAATCCCGCCCTTTGGGTGTGTTTTCACTTCATTTACTCGACCCTGCCTGTGTGCCCGGCAAGTGGTGTACGTTTCAAGCTGAGCAGGGTGGAATTGGAGACTGACACCAGGGAGGAACGCGCAGGTCTGAGGCATCCCTCTCGTACCTGTGTCGTTCAAGAGACATTCCAGCAGAAGCGGCCGTCCATATCTCTACATCCCGGGCATGCATACATTCATACCACAACCCCAGGATACGGCTGTTTTGACAAGATAACGGCCCTCCATCTCGGTGGTCCTTTTACTCCGGACAAGCCCTCCATCTAATCTCCCCTCTTTCTTCCCGGAACCAACCCACTCTTTCAGAGCTACCATGAGTGCACTGGGGCCCGAAGCATCCTGACCATTTCTCTGCAATCCTCACGAAAGAAGAAGCGCGGCCCGTCCCTCTCTCCATGGTAGCCAGCCCACCAAGCTAAAGCACCCCTCGCCCATCCCAATTACACCACAATGACAACAACAACCATGCTCAAGTTGTCGACGCTGCCGAGCCGGGCCGCCTACAGCCCGCTCATCCCGTCGCCTCTGAACCCAGATGTCGACGTCGTCGCACCTCAACGGCACCAGAGGCTGCGGGAGAAGAGAAGGCTGCAGGGCCGCGGGGACGTGAGCCCGACACAGAGACTGCTACGTCACAAGGCTGCCATGGCATGGAAGTCGGAGGCCTTGACGAGGGAAAGCAGGATATATACGCGGGAGGAGATTCTCAGCATCATCGCCGACTGCGACACCCAGGACGCCGCGGCGAGAACGGCAATCATCATGCCCGACCTCAAGAAAAAGAAGCAGCCTCAAGTACACATCCGCGCGGCACACTGGAAGGAGACGGACAGCGAGGAGGACGATTTCTTTTGCGAATTGGACGACCTGCTCGGCGTCGACACATCAGATGGGAGCCCGCAGCAGTGGCCGACACTTGTCCCAAAGCTTCGCAGCCCCTTCTCCAAAGACACGGCGAGGCGAGTCGCCCTGGCAATTGGGCTGATGTGCATCTGCGGTTGCTTGCCAGTGCTTCGAGCACACGGCTTCCACATATACCAGGGTTCCGAGGCACCTTAGGTCCTGACTCCGTCTACTTTGAGAGAGAGGAGACTTAAAAGGAACAATACCCATCATCAAACAGAGAGGAGAAAAGCCGTAACAGGCAAACAGTCGAAGATGAGAGAGGAGTCTATCCGAACGTCGGGAACCAAAACGCCGCATTATTCTTATTCGTATATCATTCCGGGCTCGCGTCTAAGAGCACACACATCATACACCGTCCAGGCGGAAACTGGTAGCCTCATAGAGACTACTTCTTCTCGTCCTCACCCGGGCTCGTGGAATTTTCTTTATCCCTTGGAGCGTCGGCGTCGGCATGCTTTGCGGCTTCCTCTTGTTTGACCTTCTTGGCATGGTTGACCTGCCAGATGGCCCTCTCGATCTCGACACCCAGCTCGGGCAGTTCGAGGGCCTTGGCTATGCGCTGGCCATTGGCCTGCGAGAGGAGGATTTCTTCATCCTTGACGGCTTCGTCCTTGCCCTTCAGGGGGTTGACGTCGCCCGTAGCTGGCTTCGATGGCGTTGGGGATGTGTTGGCTGGGATTAATGGGTGGTAGATATCGTTCAGAAGCTTGGACGGGTTCAGAGCCAGGAGTTTGTTGTCCAACAGGAATCGGAGGTGCTTGCCTCCTTCGAGAGCGCGCCAGTGTGACCAAGCACGATACGCCAAGTAGAAGAAAGGCAGATTAGGTATCCTAATAAAAAGAAATGTCAGCAGTATTTCTTGTGAAACAACGGCTTCGCGGCTTGTCTTACACCGGTACCAGGGCAAACGGCGCCGAGATAGGCATTCCAATGAGACACCACAGCATCTTCTTTCTATGCAAGGCATCTCGCTCCGTCGCCAACGTCTTGACTACCTGTTCGGCCTTGGTCGTCGGGATGATTGCGTCCGGGTATACCAGCTCAACCTTTTCCTTGCCCTTGAGCTCATCGTCTTTGCGGCGTGCAGAAACTGGCGGGACGGACTTCAGACCCCACTCTTCATATGGAATTCGGCGAAGGGCATAGTTTCCATAGCTGACAACCTTCTTCTGCCACCCGCTTTCTTTGGCCTCCCAGCCGGCCCAGAGCTTGGATGCCTTTTTGGATACCTTGTCTGCCAAGCCTTGCTTGTTTGTTGTCACTACATTGAGTCGCTGGGAATAGAGCAGAGCCCGGCTCGTGGTGAGTGGGAGGAGGTAAACACGCATCGTGGATGCCGAGGCTCAGAGGCGGATGCGGGGGGAAAACGATCGAGAAGCACGGATGTCGTCGTCGTCGTAATCGTCGTCGTCCGAGGATCTGCGACCGGCGACTGGCTGGAGTTGCGACGGACGGAGGAGGGGTGAAAAGCGGTGGGCGGGGGTAGGGCTCGGCTCGGTGAAGCTCGATAGGACTAGATGGCCGCAGGATTCATGGCGATTTTTGTACAAGACGGAGAGCGAAGGGGCGAATTGTCGAAAAGTCGCGATGCGGGCGGCCTCTGTGGTCCTTGTCGTGAAAGGAGGCAATTTTGACGCAGTTCGTGGAGTGCGAGTTTTGAAGGCAGCACTGAACCCGGCAAAAGCTGTGATGCTGCAGCCCTGGCCCCTGTCATCCATCTTAGCTTCTGGGTCAAGCTTCCTGGGTTAAGCCTGGGCCAGAGAGTGACGCACATGGGCGTCATAGGTCGCTGGAGCGATTTAAGTGGTGCGCTGAATTGGCGATCCAGTGTTGGGACGGTACACGAGGGATGCCCCGGGAGCCTCGACAGTGGTTGCATCCAGGTCCAATCGGGATCCCCAGTCGCGGGCGGTGTTGGGTAGCCATGGGGGCCAATAGGCCCTGAATAGCACACTGCAAAATCAGTCCGGGGGGTCCACCTGTGTCCCAGGAAGCGCTAGGCTTCCGTGTGCCCCTCTATCTTTTGCGAATTTTTCAGAAGTCCCAGATGGCGCGGCGCAAGTTGGGATTCGAAACCCGCTAAAAAGGCTGCGAGCTCACGGCGCGAGGCGACGTGAGGTGTGCCTGCCCGGGTGCGAAGGGTGCGAATGAGCATTCGCATTCAGCTGGCTGTCCAGGTCCCTCTGCAGATAAAAATGTCCGCGGATAGGCGGTACGTACCTCCACCACCTTGACGCTGAAGGAGCCCGACCAGCCCCAGGGGGATCCACACGTTGCTCCAGTGCTACCGCGGTTTACCTGTCACTCAGGCACGCTCCATTGGTTCTCTTCGATTTCCCATTCTCTGCTCCCTTGTTTGCAGGTTCCGTTGCCTGCGCTCTCGAGGTTGTTGCGCTGCGCGGCGCTGCGAAAGGAAGTGCGTCAGGTACTCGGCGCTCACTTCTCTGTCTGCACACTTTCCCGGTTTGCTGGAAACGCCCGGGACCGCTTCATACGTTACAGTACCTCTCCGTCATCACGACCAGTCCATCAGATCGGATCGTGTTGTGTGGTCTGTTCTCGCACGCTGCTGCATGCCGGCCGCCCTTATATTTGGTGGTGTTGTTTCCCCTGCCACACCCAGAGTCAGCACCGGTATTACCTCTCATCAATCAACGGCGCCAAGCCAAGAAATAGGACCCAAGCAGGGCAAAGGCAGCTGGCCAGCAACGCTAGCCCGTCATTCCCACGAGACACAGCCGCCGCCGCCGTTGAGTTCGACCGGCCACCTGCACTCAGCACGCACTCACTCAACCCAACGGCTGCTGCTGCTGCTGCCGCTGCTGCTGCGGCTGTCCCTCCTCCCGTCACGCGCTCTCTCGCCCTACCTATCCAGTACCTTACCTTACGTTATTAAGGTTCCTTGCTTTTTTTCTACCCTTCCTTTCCCTGCCTTCCTTTTCCTTTCGCGCCTTTCCTTCAATAATCCTTCTCTTCCCCTCTATCCTCTGTGTGTGTGGTTCGAGTTCGCTTCTACCCTCTGTGCTCTCGCACCAACCTCCCTTTCGACTTTGAAGAAGCACCAACAGCACACTGCGTTGTCTTGTTACGCGCCTTATATCGATACATCCACCTTTTGCCGCTACCACCGGAGGGCGGAGTGCATATAATATGAGAGCCCTCCGCCGCGCGATTGAGAAAGCGTTGAACCCCAGACGCTCTCAGTCCCCGTCCACTTCGGCATAGTCGCCCTTATCCAGTCCCGCCCCAGCTGCGGCTGCGACCGCGATGAGCACAGCCAGTCACCCGCCTGGCAGTTTTGGCTCGCCCGATTTCCGAGCTTCCGTCGGTACCAGTAGCACTGCAATCGACACAGGTGCTTCGCGATTGAGGGCCCCACGGTCTCTCCCTCGTAAGTACCCTCGAGGCGATTTTCGCTGGGTGGTCGTGGCTGGCTGCGCACCTTGCTGACCTACCCTCCCTTTGCAGCATGGATCGATTCCTACGAGACACGATACGGCCAGGCCACAGAAGACCAGCTGCGATTGCTCTCACCCCCGGCGCCGGCCGTTCCTCCTCAGCACAATCATGCGCCCGCCGAACCCGATCGTCGAGTATCCCGAGATGGCTACGTTGACCTCGCCGGCGACCCGTTCCTAGAGAACTCTCGCACGCGCCCGAAAATCAAACTCACAGACGTCTTCAGAGGCAAAGGAGCACAGCACGGAAGAAAATGGGACCACTTGCGGACCGCAGATCCCGTCATCGTCTCGAAGCACCGAGCAGCGACACAAGGCCCGCCCGCCGCATGGCGAGACTTCCTTCAATCCTCGACATATGGGCACATGGAGGGCGAGGAGTCGGAAGTTGTGGACGTATCAGTGCTGGATAAGTTGCAGCCTGACTTCAACAAGCGCTATGACGAAACGATGCATCGAGACGTGGAGAGTAAGACCTCAAGGAGGAAACAGTCCAAGACCATCTGGAAGAGGCTGTGGTCCATGGTATTACGACACTACCTGATCCCTCTCACCTTCCGACTCACGGTCATGGTTACATCGATTATTGCTCTTGCGATTGCAGCTCGTATTTATAAGGTAGAGAATGCCAAGAGCGGATCGAGTCCTGAACGTGCACAAAGCATTGTGGCCATTGCAGTCGATACGGTCGCACTGCCTTACATCGGCTACATGCTCTGGGACGAGTACACAGGCAAGCCTCTGGGTCTTCGCCCGGCTGTGCAGAAGATCTCCCTAATTCTGCTGGACCTCTTCTTCATCATATTCAAATCCGCCAGTACGTCCCTGGCGTTTGAATCTCTGGTTTTCCATAATGTGGACGCAGGCCCAGCGAGGCACCTGTCAAAGGCACTGGCATCCTTCCAGCTGGTAGGGCTGCTGGCGTGGACCATGAACTTCGTGGTCAATATTTTCCGTACGGTACAACGACTTGGCGGAGGTGAGGATGAAAGCTCTCACGATCACATGTAGCTGGACAAGCCGCCTTGGGCTCTCTTGGTTGGGTATACCCGGTGTATTAAAAGCCTGTACTATAGCTGGAGTGCGGATGCTCTTTATGGCTCTTCTTTGTTAATGATTATTACTTCAATACATGTGTTATGTCACACCAGTGGATGTTGGGCTTCTCTTTCTTTGAGTGGGAAAAATGGGCCGTCTTACTGACTTTTAATATCTTGGCTACAGTGGAGAGGCGAGAGAACATGAGTGGAAAACCTGACGCAGTTCATTTCTTTTTGGTCCAAGCGTGCCGTACATACATACCAGCAGCCCCTAGACCTCTCTGCAACTGCTGGCACTGGTTCCTTGGGTCTTGGACGAGCGGCTTTGTCCGGTGCCGTCCGCAGACCAGGACAGCGTTGCAAGGTTACTGCAGTGTATATTTTCAACTTCAGACGGACGGGCGTGGGGCATTCAACAACAATAAGCAGCAGGCCATTGAGACATGTTCATGAATTGACACGATTGGACGCAGCGGACCAAAGATTACAGCCATCATCTTGAATATTACGTATCTGGAAAGGGATGTCAATACGTCTTGTCCACGTGATGCATGATTATGCATGTAAGAGCCAATCTGGAATGCCATCACAACCTCAGCCTGAAGATGTCGGCGATGCTCGAGCAACCTGGGGAAAGTGATATGGAGTAAGGCTGAAAATGCCCGGAGGATACATTTAACTTGATCGATCTCACCCCCTGGCAACTAGGTAGGCAGCCCATGGGCGCCTAATCAAGCACACGGCATCGCAAAGCACGCCTTGCCTTTCCCAGAGTGCATCACTTGAGGCTGATGGGCGGTCAGAGGCGGCAAAACCGCAAACTAGACTCATTCAGGTATGCCCCACAAGTCCCCCCGACCGGCCCATGGATCGAAGGTCCCACGCCCAGGACATCCACCAGTGCGACTTCAGTGTCAGTGGCCCGTCTTCAGTTCCTCCACCACCGGACGCCTCCATACGCCGTACAAGCACTCACGCACCCAAAGCAGCATCCATCCACTGACTGCCTCTGGCTGCCTGCCTACCTGCCTCTGCCTGATTGAACGCGCTGACCTGTTCTGGTCCAGGCTGCGACTTCCTTCTTTTCTGCTTCCATCTTCTTCCTGCCCTTTCAGAATATCTTCGTACTCACTTCCCTCCTGCCCGCTCTGACTCAGACAAAGGGCGCCGCGTTCCTGTCCTGCCCACGCAGCTCCTCCAACTTCGTAAGGCAGCCGGCTCTCTCCTACCTCGCTCCCCTCTCTCCATCCCTCCATCACGTCCCAAACCCTTGCGACCAACAGCCCTCAACCGCGCCCGCCTCTGCTTCCAACCCTGATGCGAAAGAGGTTGACCCTGGTGCCGCCACCCTTTCTGACCACGTCCATCACCACGTCCTGATTCTTCGGCACCTTTCTGGCAACCGCGGGACCGGAGACACCACGTCCATTCATTGACCCGTCCACCGAAACTTACGTCGAGATTTTTTTTTAACAGTTTCTATTTCTACAGAGCAGCACCCCGCTCCCCGCGAAACCTCCTGTCGACTACCTCCCGTCGGCCAACATCTTATCCCCACCATCAACGGCCACGACGGCCTCGCCACATTCTTCTGCCGAACAAGATACACGACGACTACGGATACGATTCGAGACCCTCGGGTGTTGACAGTAGAGAAGATGGCGCCCACAGTTCAGCAGATGCCTCCGGTTCCCAACAGGGAGGACATCGGAGCAACGTGAGTCGACTTTTGCAGCCTTGCGACGCCTCTGGCTTCGCTGCTGGCCGACAACCCGCGCTGACTGTTTGCAGATGGAAATATCTCGAGGCCGGGATCCAGCGTATCATGCTGGATCTCGAGCGCGGTATTGACATGCAGATCGTGAGTCCCCTCGCTGCCCCGCGCCTTCCCTCCCTCTGCGGGCTTGCCGCCTGATGCAAGATTGCTGACGTCTCCTTCGTGCCGCAGTACATGGGAGTATATACGTAGGTAGCGCTGATCGATTGTTGCTGAACCACTCTGACCTAGTTGCAGTGCCGTCCACAACTTTTGTACATCTCAGAAGGCCGTTGGGCTCTCAGTGCCTCAAGGAAGTATTGGTTCTGGCAATCACAGAGGAGGTAAGTCAGCAGCCAAGATTCGCATGCAAGAATGTGCCCGTGCTGACCACTGGGAATGAACAGCCCACCTCCTTGGCGAGGAACTTTACAATAAGCTCATCGAATATCTCAAGTCCCACCTCGAAGGACTCGTCCAGCAATCCAAGACACACACCGACGAGGCTCTCCTGACATTCTACATCAAAGAATGGAACAGATACACGGTCGCCGCCAAATACATCCACCACCTGTTCCGGTATCTGAACCGACACTGGGTCAAGCGTGAAATGGACGAGGGCAAGAAAAACATCTACGACGTCTACACGCTCCACTTGGTCCAATGGCGTAGGGTGCTGTTCGAAGACGTATCTGGGAAGGTCATGGAGGCGGTGTTGAAGCTCGTCGAGAAGCAACGCAATGGCGAGACGATCGAGTACGGCCAGATCAAGCAAGTTGTTGATTCCTTCGTGTCCCTCGGCCTCGATGACTCCGATCCCACCAAGTCGACCCTCGACGTCTACCGCTTCCACTTCGAGAAACCGTTCTTAGAACATACGAAGACCTACTACCAGAATGAGTCTAAGCAGTTCGTGGCCGAGAACAGCGTGGTCGAATACATGAAGAAGGCTGCTGCTCGTTTACAGGAGGAGGAGGAGCGCGTCAAGATGTATCTTCACGCTGATATCATCAATCCCCTCCGCAAGACTTGTAACCAAGCTCTTATTGCGGACCACTCCCAGCTCTTGCGAGACGAATTTCAGGTCCTTCTCGACAACGACAGAGAAGAAGACATGGCCAGGATGTACAACCTTCTGTCGAGAATTCCCGAAGGTTTGGATCCTCTCCGCCAGAGATTCGAGACTCATGTCCGTAAGGCCGGTCTGGGAGCAGTACAGAAGGTGGCATCGGATGCAGAGAAGCTGGAGCCCAAGGTCTACGTCGATGCGCTGTTGGAGATCCATTCTCAGTACTCGGGCTTGGTAACGCGAGCTTTCGAAGCCGAGGCAGAGTTTACGAGATCCCTTGACAACGCCTGCCGCGAATTCATCAACAGAAACGAGGTCTGCAAGTCGGGCTCCAACAAGTCTCCTGAGCTGTTGGCCAAGTACACGGATGTCCTGCTTCGCAAGAGCAGCACCGGAATCGAGGAGGGCGAGCTTGAGAACACTCTCACGCAGATCATGACCGTTTTCAAGTACATCGAGGACAAGGACGTCTTCCAAAAGTTCTACTCCCGCATGCTGGCTCGCAGATTGGTCCACAGTAACTCCTCGTCGGACGATGCAGAGACAAGCATGATCAGTAAGCTTAAAGAGGCGTGCGGTTTTGAGTACACGAACAAGCTCCAGAGAATGTTCCAGGACATGCAGACCTCCAAGGACTTGAACGTCAGCTTCAAGGAGCACGTTGCGGGTCTTGGCATTACCAAGAACGCTCTGGACTCCCAGTACTCGATCCTGGGTACCGGTTTCTGGCCGTTGACAGCACCAAACACCAGCTTCACTCCACCCGCTGAGATCAATGAGGACTGTGAGCGATTCGCTCGCTTCTACAAGAATAGGCACGAGGGTCGCAAGTTGACGTGGCTCTGGCAGTTGTGCAAGGGTGAGCTGAAGGCAGGGTACTGCAAGAACAGCAAAACGCCCTACACCTTCCAGGTGTCGGTGTATCAGATGGCGATCTTGCTCATGTTCAACGACAAGGACAAACACACCTACGAGGATATCGCCGGTGTGACCCTGCTGAGCTCTGAGGTCCTGGACCAGGCTCTGGCCATCCTGCTCAAGGCCAAGGTTCTCATCATCTCCCCCGATGGCAAGCCCGAGGCAGGCAAGAGCTTCAGGCTCAACTACGACTTCAAGAGCAAGAAGATCAGAGTGAACTTGAACCTCGGAGGAGCCAAGGAAGCCAAGCAGGAGGAAGTGGAGACCAACAAGACGATCGAGGAGGACCGCAAGCTGTTGTTGCAGGTACGTATCTGGCGAATCCGACTCACCTTTTGACATATGCTAACAAGCCACACAGTCTGCCATCGTTCGTATCATGAAGGCGAGAAAGAAGATGAAGCACACGCAGCTCGTCAGCGAAACTATCAACCAGATTCGGTCGCGCTTCGTGCCAAAGGTTTCGGATATCAAGAAGTGCATAGAGATTCTCCTCGACAAGGAGTACTTGGAACGGCTCGAGGATGACGAGCTTGGATACTTGGCGTAATTGGGATCGGGCTTTTCCTCTCGAGAAGAGGAAATACCCTCTTGCCTCTCTCGATTGTCTATGTATTACAACACTCTCAAAACTGCATACACACAACCCCATCTTTACCAGGCACTCGATTTGCGTTACACGGGCACACTCAGGTGTGTGCAGGCTCCCCAGCGACAGGAACGAGGAATACTTCACGAAGGGGGCTGTTTTCTTCGGGTTAGGGGAGACCGGCAGGTGGGCAGGGTTAGATAGCCGCATGCGGATTCCTCATATTGACTGTTAAAATATGCCACAGACAATGACCACGGTGACGCCTAAGATTAGCGATTCCACTCAATTAGTACTGACTGCGGCACTGCGGTACTACGGAGAGAGGCAGCCATACGGTAGTAGACGTCTGGGATGTGTAGGTCCGCGGGGACGTGTAAGGATGTGTGTCAAATCATTCAAAGCCATGATATCCATAGCGGCCACACCGACGATATTGCTAGAAAATAGAACCTCCAACCCTGCCCTCTAGTACTCGGCCTCACCGTCAGCATTATGGCGCTTGTTGTGCAAAGCTAGCCGCCACCGCGACACCTTTGCACATCAGTCGTACTTGCTTTCCCGGGCATTGTCAAAAGATTACTGGGTGTAAGACTGGTTTCTGGTAGCATTCCGTCTTACCCTCACCTATCAACGCAAGGAAAGTTAATTGACCCTAGACATGCTTGAGCAGGCAGATTTGGAGATTTCTAGGCACCCGGCAACGCTCTGTCGTCACATCAGCTCGGTTCCACCGACATTTCAGCTACTTGAGAATTTTTCATATAGTTTGAGTAGGGTTCACACTGTAGTCGGTCGCCTTCGCGAGTCTTCTTACGGATTATCGAACAGCGGAGGGGCCGTAGAGTGGATAGATGGGCCACGATCTCCCCACAGCTCAGCCTCCGATGTACGCCGCATGGTCTATTTCCAATACGACGTGTCAAAGCATACGGTACGTTGTGATATCTAATTTCCCTCTGTGGGGGGGAATTTGGACCTTGGTTTAGAGACGACTGCGCTGGACAACTGTATGTGTAGTTGCAATAAGTTGGCGAAAGGGTCCAACCATGCTAGAGCACCACTCCTCGACATACACACACAATCAGCCCACTGCCCACGACAGTATTTTCCCATTCATGAAAGGTACCGGCGAGGTCTTTGTTCACCTTCGGATGGTCGGCAAGCTGTTTACAAAATTCAAGCGTACATCACCCTATGGATACAACTGGGAGCATGGCGCAGCAGACAAGTTGCCAAACATGACCATGTCCAGTAAGAAGTCTGGCAAGATGCGATGGGAATGATACAAACTTGTCGAATGGATAATGACTCATTGTGAACTCGAGCTCACTGGCAATACGTCGTATCTCATGGATGAAGTGGAAAGCATGGTTCACAGAGTCGACTGACGCTCTTGCAAGTGCTCCCAGCTCTTGGAGTATTTAATTTCGCCTTCATCGTCGTTCTTGGAGATGCCTGAACCAACTCATCAGCGCAATCTTTCAGCTTCAAAACAGTCTTACTTGCCTTCCAAGCAGCTCTATCTTCAGTCAAGATGCAGCTCTCCGCCCTCCTCGCCACCATCGCCGGCCTCGCCGTCAGCGTCAGCTCCGCAGCTCTTAATGTTCGCGGCGAAGACGTCGGTTGCGTCGGCGCCTGTGGTCACGACTACGTTTGCATTTCCCAGTGCTTCGACAAGCGCGGCCTCGAAACCCGCCAGTCGGCTGCGCAGCAGTGCGTCTTTGGATGCGCCAAGGATGACTATGGCTGCTACGCCAACTGCTTCAACGAGCGTGATGAGAGGACCGCCTGAGTTGGAGCTTGCGGCCATGATTATGCCTGCATCGGCAGATGCTTTGAATAGACTTCGTCATGCTGTGACCTTGGTAAGGGCGGCAGAATACTTCAACGCTCTGAAATTCACGGCGGTGACTGACCGTTCCTGTTCCAGCAGCACAGCAGTACAGCAGCAGGCAGAACACAGCACAAGTGGCATCAACTACCAAAACTGTTGGTAATAAAACATTCGTTTCATTCTTTTACAGGGCTACTAGCTCGTATCCATAAAAAATGTACGCAAAATACGATTAGACACATAGACTGCAATCTCGATCATCTCAGTCACTGTCCAATCGGGCTATGACCCAATTCTTTTTGTCCACAATCTCAAAGTTGGCCGTGCTAGCACGTATTATCAGACCGTGGGATATTAGCTCTGCCATAGTTTCATTTGGTGATGTCTTAACTCTTGGAGGTGCTCTAGATACAATGCTCCTGACATGAGCAGTGTCAACAGATATCATACAGGAAACCTGAAGGGCTCCTCAGTGAACGCAGGTAGACACAAAGAAGACCGGGTTGTCCTAGATAAGTATGGGGAGACTTGGTATACACATCTCATACTATTAACGACCGGTGAGATTAGCAGCTCACTGGAACACGATGGGATGTATTTGTGCTGAATCACCCGCGAGACATAGTTTGGTTTGCTACAAAACAGCTGACATTTGTTTGCTGGATAATGTACACAGAATAAAAATGCCGAGATTCCTGGCTCGTAAATGCGCTCATCAGGCCCCGGAATGAGACACATCAATTAGACTCGAGCAATGGCATGCTCCTAAACTGTGTGAGACCTCGCGAAGTATTCATAGCTTGAACCCTCCCACCAGCAAGCTGGTATACACTCCTCCGTTGTCGTATTTGGCCTTGATGGTCTTTAGCCGTTGCAGATTTGCGGCGTTGTACGTGTTGAACACATCCTGCCCACTTCCAGGGTTGTTGAGATACAGAAAAGGAACCATCTTGTCTCCTAATTTGGTGCTCATCTCTGAGTTGATGTCCGCAATGAGCGTCTCAATGGCGCCAGTGTCGTTATTGAGCGACCAAGAAAAGGTCTGCTCACACATAAAGTACGGCCCTGCATCGCTGTCAATACCCATAGGATCGCCAGCCGGATCAGCCCCCCGGTTCGTCTCGATGAAGGACCGTGAGACAGGGTTCATAGCAAGCGTGGAGATGAACCCTTTGATCTCTGGGCCGCGTTCCTGGGCAAGCTGAAAAAAATGCGTCGTGCGCGGTGTACAAGGCATCGAGGTTCGACAACATGGTGAAGCCGTGAAATCGGAAGTTCTGGCCGTGCACCTGGTCGAAGCCCTGGTCGGCCTCGGCTGACCAGTCAGCCAGAGTGCGGGTTGCAAAAGTGCTGGTCTTCGGGATGACCTGCGGGGGGAGAAATTGTTGCAGTACGGAGGGAGAGGTTTCGTTGTTGTCGTTGTAGAACAGCGTCGCCGAATATGTAACGTTAGGCCCCGCGGCTGGGACGTAGGAGATGGTCGGGAGGACAAAAGCTCGTTGGTTCTGCACTCCATTCCGGGAGAAGTCGTACAGGTCGGCAAGGAAGGAGTCACGCTGGCCGGAGCCGTAAGCCACGTTGCCAACGGCAACCTTCTCAATCTCGTATGTCTTGAGATCGAACCTCGTGACAATGGCGAAGTTGTTGCCGCCTCCGCGAAGTGCCCAGAAGAGATCAGAGTATTCGTTCGTCGAGGTGGCGTACACGATAGACCCGCTGGATAGAACAGCCTATGTCCGCTTAGTCGTCTTTCTTATCATACAATCCTGGGGAGAGAGAGATTCTTACCTCATAGCCCACAACATTCCCTGACGCCCATCCATACTGGTTGCCCAAGAAGGACATTCCTCCTCCTAACATGAATCCGGGAACCCCGACGACGCCGATGCGACTACCCACAACTGCCAAACCGTCTGGGGACAGGTAGTTGTATATGTCTGCCCAATTATGACCGGACGCTACCGAGATCGACTTGCGGTCGTCGGCTAGTTGAAGGCCCGTTAGGTTTGTGGTGGCCAACAAGATTCCGTTTGAATCAATGTTCGCAGCGCCTAGTATGGGCATCCACCCGCCTCCGCGCACCGCAAATTGGCCCCCAGATTGTGCCAGTATCTGCACTGCAGTTGCCATACTTTGCGGGCTGTCGGGTGTGAAGATGCAAGCCGGACCGAGCCACTCTTCCGCACTGAAATATCCTGACTGAAGCGTCAGTGTCCATCATGTTCTCCGTTCTGATACTAGTATCTTAGTGAACATATAAACTTCAAAGGAAGAAGGTGTTTGAAGGACCTGGGATCGGGTCCAAGATATTATCCATCTTCGGCGAAGGCATTGCTGCAAGAGCCATCATATGACAACATACCTTCATTGATAGAAGAGTAACCGGTATTGTTAGGAAGCAGAGTGAGTTGGGGAAAACCCTGCACGAACGAAACGCAGACTTCCGTGACAGTTCGATTCGATGAACACTCGGCGAGATTCGTGAGCATCGACGCAGCCAACATGAGTTGATTGTGGCGTGGTTGGCGCCCGAGCATCTTGTAAAGAACAGAGACTTAAACAGAATAAGAGTACAGAGGGGAGGGAAGAGACTATCAAGAAGTGTACTTCAGCGTAAGTCAAGTTATTTTCAACAGAGATGACTTAGTCGCCCCAAAGGAAAACAGCAAGATGTTGAACATGTTGAGGACGAGCGGAATTTGTCAACTGGACCGCTTCTTCGGCACTGTCGTCAGCGCACTCCTAATTCTATATACGACGTATTTACCAGTATACATAAAGATAAGTTCTTCAGATTATAGAGTAAGGCATCTGCATTATCAATGGGGAATACGTCGTATGCGCTAATGCACCGATCTAGAGGTTTAAGATGGCAGAGCACAGACGTGCAGATCATCTGGGTGTAAGTGGACGGCAAATACTTCGCCACGCGGGAATTAGAGACAGAGGGCGAATCTAGGGCCAATCTGCCTTATACATGCGATGTATATGACAGCATATGTCTTTGTGTATCTTTGAGTGACCTCGTTGACATGTTCTGCTAAGATGATGTTGTCCCAAAGCTCTCTGGACTGGTCGCAGCGAATATAGTCAACCTCACACCAGGCCACGAGCACATACGACCATACCCACTGGAAAACTCGGGATCCCGTCCGCTCTCCCATAGATAAGCCAGTGAGGGCTGGATTAGTAGTTGGGTCGGAGACGACCAGCGAATACCCGGTGTTGTATGTTTTTGGTGTTGATGTCCTTTTTGCCCCACTGCAAGAGGAGTGTGTGGATGTGGGCTCCCGTAGCGTCGAGCTTTAACTACTTCCTACCGCTGTTATCTAACATAGCTCCTCGTTGACAGCAGTTGGCGGCTTCTGTTTTAGCTAAAGCAACATATCATACGTTTGTCTGACTTTTCATTTGAAGTCAGGCGTTCAGGGTTGTTGTGTAATGGTCTACTGGGGAGAAACCCGGAGGTGATTGCTATGACACCTTCACACACCTAGTCATCTGCAGCTTGAGATTTTTGATTCTGAAAACCGCACCACGGCTTCTGAGACCGCATTCTTTCTGTGATAGTCTCTTACAATTCATCCCATTGTCTCCCCGTATTATCGTCTTGACCGTGGCCATCTCCCAGTGTGTATCGGAAGAGCTCAGTCAGCTTCACCACCCTCGATAACTGTAGAATCAACGATTGTCCCAACTCGCTTGCCCTTATATGTCAAGACAACCTGCGACTCGCCGGCTCCATCTTTGGGGTGACGCATAGTGACATCGACTCCCCTTAGGCCTTCCTCCTCAGCTCGTTGATTCCAGAGCATCTGCCGAATAATGCCGTCCTCGGAGCACGAGATGAATCCCATCGGCCATCGGCTTCGTCCGAGACCTTCGCGTACCCCTTTGCTTGCTGTTTTCGTGCTTACAAGGAAGGCAATGACTCCTTCGCCACGCCAACCAACTGGGGCACCAATAAAGGCCCCTTCCAACTCTCGGGTGACCGCAGGAGTTACCTTCTGAGCCCCTCCTTTGCACTGAAAGATGAGCTTCAAGCTGGTTCTTCGTGACGGTAGTTTCCAATGTCCGAGCAGATCGACACCATAGTCTGAGACGCCACCGACTCTCATAGCTTGAATTCCATATTGAGAGAGAATCGACGATACAGTGTATTCGTAATGAGTTCCAACATAGATGGTAGATGCCGTGTCAAGCCCAGTTCGATCTGCATAGTCTAGGAAAGACGAAAGGTCATGGTGCTTTGCTGTTGATGCGTCGGGAACCGGCAAGTCCTGCCCTTTTTTCCCCTTCTGTCTCAGTGATGTTCGTGTCGAGAGTTGACGTGGTTGACCGGCATGAGGAAGAAGTCGCAGAGGACGAAACCATTTCCTGTCTAGTGAGCGTCGCAGAGCATACATGCTCCTGGGATATGGCAAAGTTGGTTTCGGCAGAAGCGTCCTGGCATGTTCCGGCGCAAAAAGCCCATCACTTATTGAAGAAACATGGCCTGGGACGATGAGTTGAAGTTGAGGTACGGTGGGTACGTACCGAACACGCTTTTCTGCTGCTCCATTCGATATTGATCTGGCCCGTGCGCCACACGCGGAACACCTGCCGCTGCCAGCCGTCATACGAGCCGTCTGCGGCACTTCAACCAAACTGAGATCGATGTCAACGACGGCCACTGGACGACCGGCAACATGGGTGACAGACTCACTCAACTGCAAGATGCTGTGGATCAGGTAAGAGATAGTCCCTCCTTCTTGCCATGCGACACCGTGATCGCTGACACATCCTTTAGCTTGCCCAGCAATTCGTCGCAAGCTTCCACTTCGTCCACCGACGCCACGACCTAGAACTTCTTGGCCCCAACGACAAGATACGCGATGTCAAGCAGGAACCGGATCAGAAGGAGGGTACGATAACCGCTGCAGATATTCATCGGTAGCCTTTGAGCATTTTGACTGACAGCGCGCAGTGGACCCTCTCCCCGCGGACGAATTCAAGGAAGGCCTAGCTGAGCTGTCACGCGACTTGATTATAACGGAACAACAAATCGAAGTCCTCATTTCCAGTCTGCCAGGCTTGGATAGCAGCGAGGTTGATCAGGAGCGATACATACAGGAGTTGGAAGACGAGCTCAAGGTTGCCGAGGCACAGAGACAGGACGCAATTAAGGAGAAGGACCAGATCCTCGGCAAGCTCGACGAGGTCATCAGAAGCATTCGCAGACCTTGAGCGTCGGCGGGTGACACATTTATCTGAGGGAAATTGGGAGCGGCGTTTGGACGGCTTTTTCTTTTGGCGTTGAGCAAGGAAAAGAATTGGGGGTATGCTACCAACATCTATGAAACCATTGATACCCATTACGTCAGGGGTTCTACATCTCTAATAATCCCCGTTACCCATTGTGCTTGATCACGACACAACTCTGTATCAGTGCCTGGGCCTTCTATGATCTTAGACGTTCTTTGACTTGAAGAATTGAGGGAATGCCTCTCGTAGCTCTCTAAGGTGTCGGATCTGGTGCTTGGATGCCTGTGTCCTCGGCACAGGCAGTCCCTCCTCCACCAGGTGCGCCACATTCCAGCCGTACTCTGTGGCCTTTTGACAGTTCAAGTACGAGTCGTCTATAGTCGAACGTCAGCTCGAGGTCTGCTGTATCATGATGCCAATTAACTTACCAACAAAGTAGCAGTCCTCCATCTTTTCGACACCAGCCTCCTTCATGGCTCTGAGGTACATCTCCTTGGCAGGCTTGCAGACCAACGGCTGGGCTCCGTAATCGCAAAAGGTCAGTCCATCAAAGAGGTCGTCGATCCGGAGTAGTTTAACGACACGCTTAGCGTGATTGACATAGGCATTGGTAAGAAGCCACATGGTGCATTTGCTCTTGTCGACGTCCTCAAGCAACTCGCGCAATTCATGGTTGTACTGCAGAATGTCCTCGAGGGGAAGGGCGTCGTCGACCTTTGAGTTGTACTCCAGAGGATCGATTTGATGGTGTCTCACCAAGCCTTCAATAGCTAGGCCATAGTTCGTATAATATTCCTTGTGCAGTTTCACTGCGTCCTCCCAGGAGAGTGACAAGTGCTTTGCGAAGTATTCGTCGATGAGTTGCGCCATATGGTCCTGTACCCTTGAGCCTGGAAAGTGTCAGGTTGCGAGATTACATCTCAATGGTCTCAAAAGCTTACTCCGCGGGTATAAACAGTTATCAATATCACTGACACCTGTTAGCGGTGGCTCGAAAAGATGCAGATAACGTCAACCTACAAGAACAGCACCGACTTCGGAGCTGAGACTCCATTGGGTTGGATACTGGGATCCATGACTACTGGCCTGGAGGTGTGGGAATGGCGTAGGCTACGTCGAAAGACTGGGTTAAGAACCGGGGCAAAGCTGGGCTGCTCAATTATTCGTGTTGATATGAGTGGTCGCGGTAGTTGTTGAGAATAAGACCTTGAAGATGGAATTGGGGAACGGAAGGTTCTCAATAGGCGTGGGAGTCTGGCTGGCATGAAGGACACAAGACCAGGCAGTTGGAATCTCAGTGGCACTCTTTCATTTGTCAAGGTTGCAATCTCAATAGTTCAATGATGACAAACGCAAGCTGAGGGTCTGGCTTTGCACAATACACGGCGTAGAGAGCTGAATAGTGTCTTGTGGTTGAGTCACGTCGGCGAGAAGGCATGCATGCTACGTTGCTACTTCTGAGGTAATTACTGAGGTAGGACGGATAGCAGCGGGCGGTTTGCAGGGGGTAGCTCCCAGCTGGATGGGTGCAGCAGCAGCCAAAAAAACAAAAAATGACGGCAACGGGTGGCTCCGATGGCTGGAGAGTGCACAGGCCGGAAACAGCCCGCTTAAGTGCATCCCTGCTAGGAAATTACTGTATCCATTCTTCCAAACTTGCGCTAGGTCGCCTTGATCCCGGGAATCAAGGACCACCACGCACACGACCCAGCTGACTCGGTTTTTCTCTCTGCATCATTTGATCCACCAGCAAACAAACAAGAAAAATCCGACTCCTTTTCGATTTTGTTCCACAGAAGAGCAGAATCTCTTTCATTTCTTCCTGTATTCTGTACTCATCAGCCTGTGTAGGGTTTTACCGTCTAGTCTTTCTGCTGTTCGCTCGCATTCCTTTCTTTCCTTGCTGTCTGTGGCTTTTTCTTGCTTGAACGTCGACCTCTCGCGCGGAGAAGATTTCTGCGCTGCTTGCTCGTCGCCATGGCCCAAGGCCAGCTTGCGACGCTGCCGCCGATGGCCTCACACGCCTCTGCCCCAAGTCTCTCGGAAGATGAACTTTATCAGTTACAGCAGTGCGAGAGGATCATTCAGTTTCGCGATGCCATTCTTGCCGGCGCCCATCCTAGGATCAAGGTGCCAGCCAATTTGGCGAAACAAACACCTGCTTTTGCAAACGCTTCTCCGTCCAACCCTTCCACGCCTGCAAAAGACTCGGCTGCAGTCGGCCAGCCCGACCAGTCTGGGGGCTTTCAGTTGGTTGCACACACGCAAAACGCGTCTCTTCCGGGTTTGGGAAACCTGCTCCCGACTAACGCGAATCTGCCCCAAAGACCATATGGCTCCGGCAATACTGAGATCAATCCTATTTTCCTCGAGAAATCTGATGACCTGATCAAAGCCGAGATCCAGCTACAGAGGCAGCGCCTTGAGCGAGCATTGCGGGACGAGGTCGATCAACGACGGGCGGCTGTGAAGGCTTCGGCTCAGGCAGAGCCACTCGCCGATATCGATCTCTCCGATGTCCTCTCCAAAGCTCTCACTCTTGTCCAAGCTACCACAACCATGCCTGCCAATGCTATGCTGGCTGCTAACACTTCAGCTGCAAGTGATTCATTTGATGAGAACTCGTACTACTCCTCCCAACACAACTCGCCCGACTCTTCCCTCCTCAGTTCCCGCGCAGGCAACGAGCCTGACGCTGCCACGCAAGCAAACAAGGCGTCTGCGCCTTCACAACCCTTCGACTTCCAGACTGAGGTTCAAACCAGTCCAACCTCCGGCCTGCCTTCCTCGCTTTCCCATGCGTCTGCTACTCATCAGCCACAGGGCCAAGCTTCGACGTTCACTCCATCCCACGCACGAGCTGCCCCGAGTGCAGTCGATATCGCACAATATGACCGAGAACCGTCGGTAGGCACGACGCAAAGAACAGAAGGGGGAGATAACACAGGTTCAACTTCAGGAGGTGGGAGCGGAAATGCCAGTCGATCTGAGGAGTCAGGCGTCATAGAACTTGACAACAGTGCTGATAGGTCTGTTCCAGTAGCAGGACGCCAGCAACTGAGAGACTCTTTGCTTGATCGTCAACCTTCGCCACTTATTCAAGTCCGGGCTCACAACATATCTCCCATCGCCCCACAGCCCGCACACGTTTCGTCTCTAGCCATTGCTCGGGTTCCAGCAGTAGATGCGCAAGACGTGAGCATCCCTCAAGGGACCACGGCGCAAGTCAGGGCTTTGCGCAATGAGCCCAATACTATTTCTAGTCCTGATAGTTCGCCACAAGGAGGACGGAATATTGAGAAGCGAAAGGGCAAGAAAAAGAACAAGTTGAACAAGAAGGCGGCCCGGCAAGCGCAGGAGGCCGAGCCTTACATCAAGCCTGAACCCCGGTCACCTTCTCCCATGAACGCGCCTTCGTTTATTCGACCCCCCAAGCGCCAGAGAAGACATGGAGAGGAGGAGCCTCGATATGCCCAGTCAGAGCGCCAATTTTCTCGCTCCTACAGGGACGAAGCCGCAGCTCCAGCTTACGAGAACCAAGAGTATCGCCGACCTGTCAGTCGAGCCGCAGTTGCTGCTGAATACGGGTACAGAAGAGAGTACGTGGAGGATGCCCGCGTCCCTAGTGGCGCAGAGTATGTACGGCGAGTACAGTCGCCTGGCGTATACGCCGTCCATAATGCGCCGAGTGAGATTTACGCAACTTCTCCAGCTAGTGTCGATCGCTACGGTAGGGAACCTACACGATACTACCGAGACGGCTACGAGGTCACACGTATGAGTACTCGCCCCGTGGCTGAGCGTGGAAGATCTCGTTCCCCGGCCATGAGGGAGAGAGGATCACCACTTATGGGACCCCCGAAGGGGCCGCCTGCCAGAGTCGTAGTAGATCCCACTAGCGGCCGCAGATACTACGAACCCGCCAGCGTGCTTCGTCAGTCGGCCGCGCCGCAACAACCAGAGATTATTTACGAGAGAGCACCGATCCGAGCCGAGTCCAGACGGCCCGGGCCGGACCCGCGTGACGATGACGTCCTTTACCAGAGAACCTCACCCATGTACGCGGCACCACGCCGTGTGGTCACACAGCCAGAGTATGGAACGTCAGATGCTCATCGTATATATCGCCAGCGGGAATACTCGTCGAGACCGATGCCGCCACCAGGAGAGGAGTATGTTCAGATAAGGGGCGGAACGGAGCGGCGCATTGTGGAGGGGTTGCCGCAGGAGTACATGATGCGTGCGACGACGGTGCGTCCGGCCGAGACGATACGATACGAACTTCCTCGGGAGTATGGGAGAGTACAGAGCATGAGACCAGAGCAGCTGCCTGTTCGGGACTACGGCGGTGCGCCCATACACCCGGAAAGTCGACGGGAGGTGATCCCGCCCATTCCTCGTTCGTACAGCGTACGGCCGGCAGCCGAGTCCCACGTTGTGCGGAGAGAGTATAGTGTCAGGCCGCTGGATCAGCCGTACTACGGTCAGCCGGTCCCCGCCCGGGGTGAACCGGAGGTATCGTATATTGAGCAGCCGAGAGTGGCCGCCCCGGAAGTATACTACACCGAGGAGGGGCCCCGTCAGGTGTATCGGTGAGAAGCTTTATGAGGAACGGCAGTCATATGGCTGGCTATCGAACAGTAAAAGTAAATTTGGAATGGAAGATTCCATTGGGCGCGGAAACCAGAGAGAAGGAAGGGACGGGATGGAATTCGGGATGGGCTTTTCGGCAGCAGCCGTGGTGGGACACGTATAAGACTACACAACTACTGTCCTGTAGTTTGGACCATGAGGAGCGTTGTACAAGTCGACGAGCGAATAAACATAATAGCGTGAGCCTAGCAAAGGCTGGATTGAAAAAAAATGTTGCCTAAACCTGGTTACGGTGTGATGGTGAGACGAACGGTACAGAAAGTTGCCGAGGCCGCGGTTGCATCCTTGGTTCTTGTCAAGTTTCCAGATGACCTTGAAGCTTGCCACATATGCCGCGCACAACACAGTTTTGGCGCCACAAGAGAGAGAAGGGGCCGGGATCGCTCCTCGACGCCGACCGCTGAGGGAGTCTGGAGTCGTTTGGGGTTTCGGAATATGCAGTGGCTTTACTTACGTACGCACGCTGGGCGCTTGCTTGTTCAGGGGTGAGGGAAGGAGGAGAAGGGAGCAGGGAAAGTGGGCAGCAGTCGGGCACGTCCAGTAGCTTTGGTTTGCATTCTCTCCCTCTGATGAAGTCATTGTGTGAGCAGTCCTTCGTTTTCTGGAGACTCTTTTCTGTGGTCCTTGCAGATCTCGCTTCAGACGGGGGGGTTGTGTGTCGGTGGGCGCTCAACTCAACTTGGACACGAAGAGAAGGGAGGGATAGACGTTGCTGGGTTTAAAAAGAAAGCCAAGTGAACGTGGTTATACGGCCCAGATTGAAACAAGTCAGAGAAAAGACAGACTTCACAACTCATGGTCTCTTTTCCTCAAAACGACGAACTTACAAATGGACGCAGACTCCCGCAGGCTGCTGGCAATCCCGCTGGTCGCACCGCTGGTCGCGCAAAAGCAGACAGGCAGAGTTGACCACACGAGTTGGCTTTTAGATATCAGTTGCCAGCTAGGGACAGAGTGCGAGAGTCGCTATCAACTGTGCGCCTTTCTGATCGGTTGCACAAGGTTTAGAGGGTACAGGCTCCGGCGGGTCCGGCCAAACACACATAGCCCTTGCATCAAGGTGCAATATAACATTATTCTGATCGTCCGGAGAAGAAAGTTCAACAGTCAATGTCACTGCAAGGACGTACCCAGTCAGCCCATTTGCTTGTTGTTGCGTTGTGTTGGTCCGGGTGCCCTTGTGTGGAAGACCAGTTCGAGGTTGAAACGTTCATCCTGGGATCATCGATCTACGTCCTTCTGCTGCTGGTGGGATGTAGGCCGTAGCAAATAGCTGAATCACCATGAGCCGGATTCGCATTGCCCACCACGGTCGGAAGAGCGCTACCAACCTCTCTGCTGGCGGTCGCTTGTAAATGCCGGATCTTGAGCGTCTTGTTCGTCCGTTTCTGGCGCTGGGAGACGATAGGCGTGCGTAAGGACGCAAACCGCCCTTCCGTAGGTCGATTCGCCGGTGGGTCGCCGTCGCAGCAAGCCGGGGCTGGGGCGCGGCTACTTTTCCCATGGTTGCAGATCAATCAACCAGACACCACTGCCAGCGCGTGTTTTTGTTTCCAGGCGAGGACGGACGGCGTCGACGGCATCTCCCCTGTCTCGGACATGTTTTTCAAGGGCGAGCTCAAGATAGGGCCAGGTAGCCCAGGCTCAAGGGCCCGCGAGGGAAGCCCTAATTCACAATCCCCATGGTGTTTGCGTGACATGTGTCAGTCACCCTCTCGGGGCCGTACAACCGCCGTATGCGTGCGCAGTGAACATTGTCTCGAAGTCTCCGAGTCGCTGTTGGAACCAACATAGCGGCGAGCGTCGCGAGCCTAGAAGGGGAGCGGCCAGTAGCCAAGTGCCACCGCCGGTACATGCCCAGATTACCCAATGCCGGCAGCCCTATCATCTAGCTAGGAGGACTGTAGCAAATCCCGAAGGCGCCGGTGACTGGCTACCTAGATCATAGTCACGGCCACGGTCCGCGGGTGAATGGTGCGGTGGGATTCGGGACGCTCTCACTAGAGGCTCGAGCTCCCCACGCCACGCCCGCACCTTGAGACGTAAAGGCGTGGACGGAAGAGTTGGCCAAAGGGTTCAGGGATGTTGGTTGACTTCAGGGCAAAAGGCGAAAGTTCAGTCGAAGCTCCAACATGTCGGGGGATGACCATTTGGGAAGTATGGAGATTCTCGTGTGCCTTTGGCCGATCTTTCTCGTTCAATGGGACAGACACACACACCAAGTAAGAAATGCGCGGTGGCTATTGTAGTGCTGCAAAGCAGCCCAACGGCGCCTCTAGGCCCTGGGAGCTGGAGTCGTGCAGACAGGCGGGCTGGCTGTCTGAACTAGGTATCTGCAGGCTGGCTGGTCGAGGTCCGATATGCACAGAGTGAGAGAACGCCGGAACCTTTGGACAGATCGACAGCTCCTCAGAGTGACCTGACTAAGACCGATCTTGCGACGGCGGGCCCAAATCAGGCCGTTTTCTTGATGACAGATGTGCTCCGTCGACGCACGCCGGAATCCGCGAACCGCAGATGTTCTCGGCAGATGCACCAATGGGTGTGTTGGGCCAACCTTTGGTCAATGCCAATTGGAATGGACCCGGACTTGGAGAAAGATTGGACGTCCTATGTTCAATATGGAGGCGTTCCTCGTATGTAGACGGAATCTCTCTTGGGGGAATGGCAGCACCGCGGATAGGTGGTATTAGGCGCGATGCAGGTGGTGACGCTGACGGCGGTCATGACAATGACGGCGACGGATGTGGTGGTGACGATTCAGAATCCGGACTATCATGAGTGCCGTCACTGTCGCAGCATCAAAAGTTGAGTCGTGACCAGGGCTGACTTGTGAAGGAGGAAAGACCCTCGGCCACCACCGCGTAAGCCTGCTTGGACCACATCATCCCGTTAAGCCAGGCCAGGCCGGGCCACAGTCGGCTGTCAGTCGCGTGCCCCAGCGTTCGGAACCCAGCAGGAGCGACTTCCTGGCGAAACGAGAGGGGGGCTCTCAGCAGCGGACGGTGGGCGGTGCGCAAGCAACCGACGAGTCGCAGGTAAGGTAGGTAGGTACCTAAGGTAAGGTCGAGGACAATGTTGTGGGGTTGAGCTGACCCTAATTCACGAGATGTCATCGTCCACGGACGACGACCTGACGGACCAACTTGTGGACCGCAGGTGATGGGCGAAAGTATCAGTTCTGGGAGGAATTGAGCAGACTCATCTTGGTCGTCAACGCAGAAGTGATAACATCTTTTGGGATGACGATTAATGTTGAAATGTTGGAAGACACAGGCGGTATCTGATCAGTTGGAGCTGGGCCATCTGGATCTGATAGCCTTCCCGCCAAAGTGGTAGGTGCGACTGAGTGCACTGGAGAATTTGCCAAGAAAAAAGTAGCCCCAAGGTTATTGTTTGACGCAAAGAGGGCATAAAGCGTTGGAGGAACGCGTCCATCTACTTTCCGGTACCTCGGGGGATGGAGCTTGCGGGTGCTCGCGGGACCGGTGCACACGCTCCTACCTGGTCCTTCCTCATCAAGCAGCATGCCAGACGAGGGCTCTAGTGCCTCCTCACAGCTGTTGGGCTGGGCGTTGTCATCAGCCGGACATGCTTCAGCAGTTGGGGACCGTCATGCCAGGAATTCCGAGAGCAACGAGCGAGAACTGTGCAGCATTCTTCGTATGGAGGTACGTAAGATGTCGGCTACCCCTGGGGCTGTGTTTGACGATGGGAGATTATGAGGTAGGCTTAAGTTCTAAACCCATGCGTGCGTGCCATGCCGCAAGCCTTTATTTAGGGGAGTAATTGACCAGGGACTCGATCTACTCGCAAGATAAACAAGAAAACAAAGTACAAGGTGGAAATGACCACCATGGAGAAGAAAAACATAAGCCGGACATCGGACACCTTCATATGGCGCACTGGGCACGGACAGGTAAGGTGCCTTAGGTAAGGTACGAATACCTTACCTAAGGTAGGTACGGTAGGTAGAGAGAGGTAGGACACAGCCCTACTACTACGGGGTACTGGTTAATTGGGCCGGAGTTCCAGTTCCCTGCATCTGTTTGAATTCTTGTTTGGAGCGAGCGACATGAACGCGAAGGCAGCATCGAGTCCCCCCCAGAGCAGAGACAATGTCCGCCTGTTTCTCCCCTCCACCAGGCCCAGCTCGTGCTGTCTTCTATTTTGTCTCTGATCTGCGGTGCCGGGTTGGCTGTTCGGGCGGCACGAGGGCTGGGTACGCGTGGAATACATGCACGACGACGGTTTTGCATCCAGCCGAGCAAGTGAGAGACAGTCCCGAGGTGGCATCGACAACACACCACGACGCCGACGACAACGACGGACCAGGTACCTTAGGCACAACAGGGACGGGCAGGATGAGAGGAGGTGGTGTTCCGAACCGGAGCCCTTGGACGACCGAGACGTGGGACGGGAATTGGGATATCGTAGGTTTCCGAAGCCATAGCTCGGCGCATCCGCAGACTCTGAGCTGCCACTGACTGACTGCCAACCAACGATGGCGGGCTCGGATCTACGTTACATACCACGCATCCGTAATGCGTTGTTGTAATCGACCGTCAACTCCCACCATTAGTTGTTGGTTGGTTTGGGCCGAATGCTTCCTCGTTTTTTGACTGAGAATTTTTGTGCTCGTTGGTGGAAGAGAGTGGAATGAGAGCAAAATTGGCTTCCTTCAATGTACCTTTAAGTGTCTGAGAGCGCCAATTGGACTCGGCGGTGGTTTTGGGAGTTCCATTCGGCATCGTCCCACTGGGCTTCCAAAACCCTGCAGGCTGCCAGTCAGCGGCGAGAGCCAGTGAGCTGCGGCCGCTGCAGCGCGGTAGCGCTCCACGAGCAAGGGTGCGCCGTGCGAGGGACCGTCACCCGTCATGGATGTTGAGATGCCGAAGTTACCTGGTACCTCAGAGGCGCCCAGCAGGTACCTAGCATTTACGAGTTCACTACTTGTATTTGTGCATACCTACTCATTACCTTGGGTAGGTACTGCTGGAAACCCCCCAAGAGCCAACCTAGGCGGTAGGAGGAGGAGAAGAAGAAGAAGAAGAAGGAGAAGAAACTCAAGAGACACGCTGAGATATTGGCGGACATGATCTTGCATGCCTTCAAGGGCGGCACACCAGCCGGACGGACGCATAGTCCTCCACTGGATATGTCCTACTCGTACTTTCTCCTCGCTCTCAACTTCAATCTGTGTGAGGTGATGTGCCCTGGCTTTTGGCCTGTGGGTATGTGTGTGTGGGAGCGTGAGTGGTGTGTGTGTTGTGTGTTGTGGGTGAGGTGGTGGTCTCGTCGGGGGAAACTTAGTGGTCCTCGCCTGAGGGCCTGGTTGAACAGGGGGCACTGGCCAGGTCTGAGGGCGACAAGAGAAGTACTGCGCTACATGCTGCATCGCGCAGTTTGAACGTCTCTCAGATGTACCGATGCGGTTGCCGCTACATTTGGTGTCCAAGATACCTGCTGATGGACTGGGACGGGGAACTCTGGGACACTAGACGGGGGGGCACCATTGCAGTGGGCTAAGGTAGAGAGGTGGATGGGCGGTTCACTTTGAAGTGACATAGTGTATTAAAGTGTACTTTTTAGAAACTCTGCTAGTATACAGGCTACCCTTATAGCTACCCCTTTTCCCTTTTCGCTTCTCTTTTCCTATTTTTAGTAGTTAAAAAGGACTATAATTATTACTATATTTATTTCGTTTATATAATTTTTATACTATAAAATTTCCTCTAATTTATTACAAAATTTTTAAGTTTTTTATTATCAAGTTTTTATAAAGTTCTTACTTATTCATATATTTACTAAAGTTATAAATAAATATATCTTATATCTAATTTATTATTTTATAAATATAAAAGAAATTACTATAGTAGTTTATGAAATATAAATAAAATATTTATAGTAATTTTTATAAGTATCTTTAGTTATAATATTAAAGAAAATATTATTAATAAACTGTTTAAACTTATACGTTTTTTATTATCTAAGTAGGGAAATATTTTATTTCTATTTAGTTATTAGTTATTTTTATAATTAATATTTTAGTTAATATAGATTTAAATATAATAAGCTAATTTTATTAAAAATAATTAATAAATAGAGGAAGATCCATATTCTTTTTTTTATATAATCTTATATAGTAAGTTATTTATAAGCTATTAAAGTTATTAATAATACCTTTATAAATTTAAATTAAAGCTTTTTTAGTTATTATAAATAGTATTATAATACTTAGTAGATATCTATCAAAATATAAATAGAATTTTTATAGTGTAGCGTAAACCTCCACAAATTAGATGTGGCTGGGCTTAAAAGGTGGAAGAGGTGGATAGGCGGAGTGGAGCTCGTTGCTGGACTGGGACTGGGCGCTCTGCACACTGGGGGCAGTGGGCACTGGGGCCCTTCGAGACTGGGACGGGGGGACAGAGGGATGGACTGGGAGTGGCCGGACCATGCCATGCCATGCCTTGCCTGGCCTGGCTGGACTGGGTCTGCCGT